TTCTTAATTATTGCACACATAAAAACACAGGATTAATGGCATGCTTAAAGAGTTGTAATTTCCAGGACTGAACGGCATTTGGGTGCTGCTTGCGAGACTCTGCAACCACATTTGCAGCCGACGTCAGTGTAGGAGGCAGCAAAGAAAAACTGCTTTTGGCTTTCAGAAAATCCCCTCCCTCACACCCCAACATGACAGAACAAAACAGGAAAACATGATTCCACCTAGAAATATTTAACATGTCGAGTATTAGGGACGCATTTTTATAACCATTTTCTTCTTTTAACACACTTGGAGAACACCACAGAAAATGTCTTTCGCGGCAAAGGTGAATTATTACTGGCTCCCATTTAGAAGGCACCCGTTTTCAACAATTAATAAATAATATATTATTTACATTTGGCTTCTGGTGATGGCCTGGATAATGTATTGCAAAGGGGCTGCTTAGTGGAGAAGACTAATGAACACCTCCGACTTGTTTACAAGCTGTAAACTTGTAAACTCCGAGCTGCACCCTGACAGTGCTAATTTCACATTGAAAAGAAAACTCTGTTAATTTAACTACCATTTTTACAAAAAGTCAGCAGCCAAAATTAATTCACTGGATCTTAACCTGATCGGGGATCTGGAAAGCGCTGAGCAAATGCTACCCACAGCACATAAAAAGTTTTAAGAGTGAGGAAATCTTAAGTACCAAATTTAAGTGCGGCAAGGGCGATGGTTGCATTTGTTCGGCTATAACCTCTATGCACAGGGGCCAACTCTAACTTGTCAAGATTGGTATCAGGGAAAACACCAAAGCTCCTTTGGGAAAAGGAGCATGAGACCATAATGCAAAAGCGGGCCCATTTTCCATTTGTCTCCCAATGGCTTTTGATGTTGATCAGCACTGAAATTCCTCTTGCTTCCTCAGCTCCTTTCTGCCGCTGCCTTCATTTTCACAAAAGCACGTCTCCACGGTGTGCTGCTATAAATCCAGTCCCAAGCAATACTTCTGGGCAACAAAAAAAGGTGATTTTTGATGGAGCAAGGCTAGGCAGATCCCTGAAAACTCTGAAAAGGGATCATTGGTGTCTTTTGACCTAAGGGAGCACCAAAAGAGGCGAAGAGGGGCTTGGAGACTTTTAATTCATGAGCCTCAGTGGTGATTAGTGATTTGTGTACTAGCACTGTTACTTGGGACTCTCGAGGCTAAGGAGGGTGACTGGAAATACCAAGCGGCTTCGTTCTGCTTGATCTGTGTGGCCTCGATTGGATAGACCTAAAATGGCTAAAAATCAATTCTTTACGGAATGCTTAGAATTAAGAAGTGTACAAAAAGGAGGGAAAAAAAGTAAAACTGCGAGTATTTCATGGTTGACAAGAAAACAAGTTGAGTTCTCTTGCTTGCCATGGAATTTTGGATTCCTCTACTGATCCGGCAACCTTTTTTTGTTTTTTCAATTCCTATCCCCATCTCCACCTGCATTTGCAACGCCGCATATTGTAGCGCGTAACCCAGAGCTGCAGCTAAAGCTGGAAAAGGCCATAAGAGGCATTTTGGCAGGCCCCTACCGAGGCTGACCACCTGTCACAGCGAGAAGGACACCGAAAACATCCCCCGCGCGGAGGGCGGCCCTACAAGAGCCCGTCCCAACAGCACCTCTCTACAGCCACGCCGCTACCGCGATAAGGAGGTAGGAGTACTTACTGTCTGTAGCTGACCATAACTATTAAAATAGCTGGCATACAGCAAAGGATGATTATGACAGCCAGAGCAAGCAAAGCACCTTCCGTGTAGCCCACGGCTTGCGCCTGCTTCTTGACGTTGGCTACCACATCTGGCGTGCGGATCTCCAGGATGCGCCCCCCTTGGCCCAGGTATGGCTGGAACTCCTTGTTGATGTCCAGCAGTTTGCCGTCCAGGAACCTGCACGGTGGCAAAAGGCAACAAGTGGAGCTGCTATCCAGGCGGCCCGCGAGCCGCGCTGGCAACGGAGAACTGGAGCTGAGGCACGAGCTAATCAAAAACCAGCTGCTGCTGTCACTGCCTGCAACGTGCAGAGGTTTTGCTAGAGCAGAACCCTCACGGATATTCCCTCTTCTGCAATCCTGTGTTCTATCAACATTCACAACTAAATTCCTCCAAAAAAAACATTTTCTGGGTTAAATGAGCAAAACCCCTTTTTCACAACGTAAAGATCTGCACAGAGGGCTGGCAAAACATGAGGCAAAGCGAAGCTCTATTCCTGTTGGCGCTCACTAGATGTCACTGGTGCATGTTGGATGTCCTCTGAGTTGGCGTTAGAGGGCCAGGACAGCATTACATCTCTGCCAGATTTTAACAAGTTCTCTGTTAAAATTCTGCTGGCATTTTCTTGAGAAACCCTTTTTTAACAGGTTCATAACTTAAGCATGAACATTTTCTCCATGATGAAGCACGACACATTGGGCCAAAGATTGCAGAAGCGTTTTCTTTTTTTAACTAGGCAATGCTTTCCACTGAATATATGCAAGAGAAATTTTCTGGATGCACCTATTTATCCTTTAACAAACCAAACCCTCTTTCAAACAAAACATAAATTTAAAAAGCTGATCTTCTTAGTCAATATAATTATCTAAATGGCCCTAATTCCTTATTTTTTTAAGAGTTTGGGGTAGAAGGAAGAATTAAGTAAGCACAGCTGCTATTCAGACACATTTGTTGGTGTAACCAGACATATCCCTGATTAACAAGGATGTCACGTGAATTGTCCTAAGGAAAAGCACGAATCTCTGACTGCATTTCTCTGCATTTCCTTGAAATAAAAATAAATAAGGACAAAACCTGACGTTCTAGATCCACCAGAATGGTATTCAGTTTCTGTCCATGGTTATCCAGAGGTGAGCACGGGAACTTCAAACATTAGCTATGGTAAGAGACCAAATATCATTTGGGTTTTGTGACGTTTCCTTCTAGGAAGGGAGAAGACCTAGAGCTGGCAGAAGGATGGTGGCAACCTCTTCCAAGCATGAGGACAACCATTACTGTTGTCTCTTGTGACCAGTCCTCCAAGGATCAAAACTCCAGGAAAAAAAAACAAAGGGTCACAGAAGAAATTTCTTTCTTTTTCCTTAAAGTTTTGGGTAAGCATCTGAGCTGAGCTAAACCTCTCGAGGGTCACCCGCTCGCAAGCCTAAAACTTCAGATTTTGAGCTACAAAACTCTCTCCGTGTTTCTCCTGTTTTAATCTGACACTTGCTCACCTCTACCCTCAAGCCCGGGGAACATTCCCCAGCATTTTGAAGCAGCAAAGGAGAGGGGAGGAAGAAAAGAAAAAAAAAAAAGCAAGCTGAGCATGAAAGCACATGAAGCATCCGAATTGCTTCCAAGCTAATGTTACCCTACACATGGAAAATGAATAACCTTCCCTTCACATTTGAGAAAGAAGAGAAAAAAGAAAAAAAGAAAAAAAAACAGAACCACTTTAACAACTTTTTATACTTTTTGTGTGTGTGTGTGTGTGTGTGTGCGCGCGTTTTACAAGCATCCTTAAAAAGACATATACTGGTTCATTTTCATAACCTAATGGGAACAGATAAGTGAGATTTCCAAAATGAGGAGCAAAAAGATGTGGTCAGGATTTTCAGCCAGCCTCGTGGCCTCGCTTCAGCTGTGCAGAGCTTCAGCCTGGCAACATCCTTCTGACCTTGAACGCGTCAGGACAAGCTCACGGTACATTAAAAAAAACCCAGGAAAGCAAAGCTGAACTATTTAGTGATATTTACGGCTTCCCTGTCTTGGCCTGCATTTTCTATCCAGATAGAAAGCTCATTCAGATGCCAAATTAATTCTGGGAATTCCCATGGTCTTTTTTAGACCAGGGCAAGCTGATCATGGTGATCTTTTCCAGCCTAAAAACTCAATATATGCAGAGCTCGACTCTGCTATAACTCAACCGTAGTCAATTAAGGGCTCTGGAGAACAAGCCGTTTTTCTATCACAGTCCACCAGGAGGGCTCACAGCCGTTCGCTGAGTGCTGCTTCTTGCCATCGCTGAACAGGCCGGCCCAGCTTTCACTGAGACAAAAAGCAACCACGCGGGTGAGCCACACGCATGAAACCCAACAGAAGGGTTTGACGAGCATTTTTCCTGTTTTGATACAGATACGCACAACGCTGAAAACCAGAAATACCATTTCTGACAACACAATTCCACAACCGTGGTGCTGCGCTGACAGCTGAATGGGTTGAGATCCTAATTTGGTCTCACAACCTGCTCTCCACATGCGATGACTAAACTGCTAATTTGGAAGAAGAATGAACAGTGCCACATTGTGACTATAAGTGGTCTATCTACTGCTGTTCCTCATCTCTAACAGCTGGTGGGATGGCCCTATGCATATTTGTGTCTGTAGCCCACTGAGGTTACATCTGGCCTATGAGACCTGTGAGCACTACTAATGTGGACGTGCACCCTGGTCATGCCACATGCCTGTGCTTCAGGATGAGAGCTAAGCTCTGCTTTGCCTTCCCTCTTTTCCTTCCTTTTGGTTTTCACAAGAACAGGAAAAAACACTTGTGTCCCACAGAAATCCCAGAAAGCCTGAAGGTCTATGCCTGGAGTGCCAAAGTCAACGGCCACCCCACTCCAGCACCTAAACCCAGCTGCAGAATTAGGAGTCTGCCTTTGCAGTGCAGGGCTTGCCTCCAAATCTCACATTTTCCACTTTAACAGTGGAGTGGTGAGGTGGGACAGTGAAGATGAACCAGTTTTAGAGATGTGAACAGTACATGCCTATGCCTGCAAAAGCATCCTGCTTGGCACCACAAGTGTGGCTTTGCAGCTAAGTCTTCACCATGACCTGATCCAAGAGTGACAGATAGATACTTACTTAAAAAGTTCGTTCCTCATTATAGCTCTGTTTGTTTGAGGGTCAATCGCATAGACCATCAGGTCAGACTTGGTATAATCCTCCTCCGAGTATCCATCCCCAAACCTCCGCGCTCCAATCGATTCCACCACAACTGTTGCACCAGGAATTTGGTCTTGGACGTAGCGTTCCAAAATCCTAGGAAGGAGATGGAGCCAGAAAGCTACGGTGATTTATTTCTCCTAATCAAGACTGACAAGGGTTGGCATTAGATGCTAATAGACAAAACCTGGTTTAGAAGGTGACCTTCAGAGCCCTTTTGATGAAATCTCCAGTCTAATATAACTTCCTAAGTGCTCAGCTCTTGGGAAAAGCTCAGCAGTATTAGGGAGGTCATCAGAAATGGTGTCCTCGCGTCTAACTCTTTGTATTTATGACATCAGTTGAGTTTTAAATGGCTCATGGGAAATATCAACTATATTGTAGGATTAAAAGCTGTCATCCTCTTACATAAGTTATACGACTTCAGAATGCTTCGGGTCCAGCTTTGCTCAGGGTGCACCTAATAAATTCTTCCACACCAAACCTACAACTTCAGCCCTATTCCATTGGATATTTCATTGGGACTTCTAACAAAGCACAACCTAGCAGGTGCCAGAACACCTGCTACTCCAAAAGGCATGGGCAAGTTTTACAGCCCTAAGCAAGTTGAAATACCGAGCTGCCAGGACTCCTCCAGGGAAAAACAAATACAATAAATTGCACAAGTTATACAAGCAGAAGATGGATATGTGAACAGGAATTTACAGGCAGCAGAGGTCTTGCAGCTCGACCCTGTGAGCTTAAAAACCTGCAAGCAACAGGGAGAAATGCTCTTCACAGCAATATTGCAGCTGGGGTGAGAGCAGCCATGGACAGGTGGCCAAATGCAGAAATGTAGGCAAGAACGGATATGGAAAAGCTGCGCTGACATTTGAAGAGTTTCAACCCCACCGAGGTGTCATTTCCAAAGGCAAGCAGTGCTTTCCCAGAGATCCAGGGCATGGCAGCTGCTGGAAGTCACTGCTGTGGACCATATTTTTGGCTGAAATGTCATTAAAAAGTAAGAATGAACAACAGACTAGTTTGTGACTACGACAAGCACGGCAAGCCTTTGGCTTTGCAAGGAATGTAACAAAGTAGGGTGGAACAGCCTTAATATTTCATGTGACACATATAAATTGTATACATAGAATGAAGAAACTTATAGCAGGCTGGAAATGAGATGTATTTAAAAAAAACGCACCGAAAAGTAGCAGGCAACTACTGTTAAAACGGCTGAAAATGTGCTTGTTGCTTGTTAATGCAATCAGTGCAACTCCCAGGTCCCCAGTGCAGGGTAGCGGGAGGTTGACCTGGTGTCTTAGCGGGTGAGGCGCTCCGACAGGCTGGGGCACCCGTGCACATCCAACACCCCCTGCTTGAACTCTCTAAAGGCTGCAGACGTGACATAACGAACAGAGCTTCCTTCTAGGGCATCCCCATGCTGCCGCTTTCCAAATCCCAAGCAGTGATGCCAAGGGAAATGAAGGGTGGGAGGATTCTAACCACCGCCGAGGGCGTAATGTGGCCGTAAAAACGCCCTGCTGACGCAGGAAGGAATTTATTTTTCATCCTTGGAAGCACTTGGAAGGGAACCAGAGCGGACGCCCATGGGTGATGCGTTCTGGGAGTCCCCCTGACGCGTTGCAGAAGCTTCTGCAACGGGTAAAAATAATTTAAGACAAAATAAGCTGTTTCTTCTTCCAGGACATGGAAATAACTATGGACACCTCAAGCTTTGAAGACTCGGTACCCTGTGCAACTTGGGACTCCTCCACTGAAAATTCTAGCTTCCTAAAGCTAGAATTAAAATTCTAGTTATTAAATTCTAGTTATTTGAAAATAATTAAATTCTAGTTATTTGAAAATGTAAGCTTTTCTTCTACAGGCTCTTGCCTTTATTTGGGCCATTAACCAAATAGAGATCCTGGGCTCCTGAGCAAGCCCAGGTGCAACATCAGACTTTGACATTTCTTCGAAGTTGTGGCCACCTTCTAGGACAACTATGGGAACAGTCTTTTAAATGCAAGGAAAAGGATCTCGGCAGAAACTGGTGGTAGGGCATAGATAACATCAAAATATGTAAATAAAAGCGTTTTAGCTGGCTTCCAATAAGATAAATATCTCACTTTAATTGCAAAAAGTCCAGCTTTGTCCTCCATCAAATACTTTCTTGCCCCTTCTTGCAAAAGAAAAAAAAAAAAAAAAGTAAAAACCCAAACCCTCAATTGCAGCCTGTCCTTGCTGAATCCAAACGCAAGAGTGGTGAGTTTCCACAAGTGGTAGAGCAAATAAATGTATTACCCTATCAGCTGATCTTTGTTTTGCTCCACGAGGGTGGGGGGCACATTAGAGACGATGACTTGCATGTCCAACTGGTTGACCACTGAGACCTGGAGAGAGAAGAGCAAAATTCAACGGGCGCTTCTGGGCAGAGCATCCCCCTGCCCCGGACCGACCCAGTGGAGGAGTGGATTTAACCAGACCTGTAATTGCAGGGCAGCTTCCAAACTACGTTTTTACCACTAGTTAGTTAGCATCAGTTCATTGCTCATGAGCAGTTTATTTTTGCAGACAAAAAAAAAGACCAAAAAAAACAACCCCCAGCCTTGGAAACACGCCATTTGTGCTAATGCAAATACTAGATTAACATAATGATACTTTGTTGGCAAATTAAAAAAATATATATCATTTAGCAATTTCCAATGAACTCATCAGTACAAGTTTTCATTTGCGCCTGTAATTCTGCATGTGAGCTTCTCCCTCTATGGGGCATAAAACCACATGTTTTACGGTTTGAGATCTTTTATTTTAAAATACCGGCTGTAAAAGTGCTCCTTTAATGCTCCCAATGCTTGCAGGGTTCAAAAATTAGTAGCACCAGGTGAAATCCAGACAGAGACTCTGGGACAGAAGGGCTCAACCTCCGAGCAAGTGTCTCGGTTTAGCCTTTTCCGCAGCAAAAAGCCAAGTAATTTCTCCCATTTCCAGTGGCCACATGCACTGGAGACTACATCAAATTAAACAAGAGTTGGCAAAGTCAGCTTCACCTCTTTAGTCTCCTGTTTTTAGCCTCATCCCAAGAAAATACTGTTTGAAATTGTTCTTGCCATGAATGTTTTCATGGCAATGAAATTTTTTTAAATTCTTTTTTGTTTTATTTACTTATTTTTTATTCCTTCATTTTCTCTTTGCGAGTTCCTAGCCTCCTCTTCAGTTGGAAAAGCACCCGTTAGCTCTCCAGATCGATGGAGAAAATAAAATTTTTCTCGGTCACATTCATATAGGCATTGGATCAACCATTAGCCCGGAGCACCTCTCTATGGAGAAGCACCCAAATTTGGAAAAATAGGGCAATGGTAAGCCCATTAAAACACACGCACACAAAAAAATCTCTTAGTACTGGATTCAAACAAAGAAACACACACAATAAAAATCAAAGACCAAAAAATACTCCTTGATTTTCAGAGGAGAAGTTGCAGTCCCATAAGCACTTGATCAAATGGGCTGTTACATTAGTGCACATCACACAGCGTTTCTGAAGTTTTTGAAGCTTAATTCAACCCAAAATACGTAAATGTTCTTGAAAGGTCACCAGATGAGCTGATCTGCACACGTGGGCAAGAGCAGCAGAATGGCAAGAACTGGAAACGAATTTTAGACCATGCTCATTACGAGGATCCCGAGAGCAATGACCAGCTTAATAGAATTAACTGCATTAAACAACTCAAGCAATTCGCTGTGCTCTTACTCACTGAGTACCGCATAAGGGAGCAAAATGAAGAGAATATGAGGGGTTTCCATAGGAACATCAACTTGCTCATGCACGTTTGCAATGTTTTCTTCCCCTTTTCCGCTATTAAAATCAGTGCTAACCTGTTTTTTGGGGAAGGGGTGATCTTCCACGTGTGGATCACACTCAATGCTAACCCAAGCTTTCGCACTGGGATGGTGTCATCACATCTACAGCTACTTTTGAGCTGTCAGGCCTTGCTCAATAAACTGTCATATGGCAGCACATATGACTCATTAAGACAACCTCCATATGCCTCTGTAAATTAATTAGACATCCTTGCACATTCTAATTTTCATGCTGACAACTTCTGGCTACGTTTTAATATCATACTACAGCATAAATGTCCGGAGAACACCCTATTGCTCAGGGAGGTCAAGTATGTGGACATCCTAGATAACGCTGACTTCCTGCATAACTCCACATAGCAACTATTATGGTTGTCATTGAGCATTCGCATGAACATGATAACGCACTCCATCCCCATAACATTATGCTAATATTAATTCAATCCATCAAGCTATATGGGCTTGAAAGGATTTAAGTCAATGTCCTGTACTCAGCACAAAAACGGAGCTCAAGTTGGTGCCATCTTTGGGAACCGGCTTCTCTGAGAACGTGAATCACCGTCTCAATCACAAGTTTTCTCCTCGTTTCTCCCCCTCCAGACCCAAATCACTGTGGCACTGGCTTTCCCTAAGCCTGAATTCTGATCGCCCAGCTGCTCAGCTGTTCATCCACCCCTAAAAACTGCAGAAACGGAGCACATCCGTGGGGACATGTGCAGACAACCATGCTACTGCCACTCCTGCCCTGCAAGCCACGCAGACCAGGTCAAGAAGTCTGTAGCCAGACGGACAAGGAGTAGAGCCCAAGTTAGTCAGCTTTCAGCCCCAGTTATTAGCTTGATGCTTCCTGCCAATGCTAACCCCACTTCACAGTTTTTATATAGGAGCTCAAAAAATAGAGCTGAGCTGAAATTGGTTGGAGACGTGACCTGCTTCGTACTCTTGTCGCACAAAAAGAGCACATCTTTTTGCTAAAATTCAAACCTAAATTGAACCATTAGCGACACCTCACTGAGTGAAGAAAATACTGAACATCACATCTAGAGTGGCACCTCAGATCAGGTCAAATTTGCCCCCCAGAAAATGAACATTATTTTTCAAGTCTTCAGCAAGACCAAACGCTCATGGTCGATGACCATGCTACATCCTTCCTTGGAAGGAAACTTTATTCAATGTCCAAATTACTCCAAAAGCATAACGTTCCAGGTCATACTTACAAGCACATCCGCTTTGCTGCTCAGTCCTTTCCCATAATTGTCGGTTGCAATGACCTGAAACTTGAAATAGGATCTTCTCATATTTTTGAACAGCATAGCAGTTTTTATTAGCCCTGTATAAGCTTCTATCACAAAACCTTCTTTACCATCCTTGATTGGAGGAATGATGAGTCTGTATTGCATGGCACTGTAATTCCCAGTGTCTTTATCATCAGCCTAATAGGGAAGAGAAAACAAGCAGAGGCAAACTGAATAACCACATGTGAGAAGAACCATTAACCTTGTCCTTTAGATACCGGTGCACGTTGGACCGGTGAAGCTCTTCCACCCTGAAGTCTGGAGCAGCTGATCCTGGAGAGCGGATACCGCTGTTAGTTAAAACGGTTCATTTAACTCTGCTGCTTGCAGGTTTTGCTTTCCAGCAATTTCTTTCTCTGCTGTTAGCATTAAACTGCTTCAAAAGACGTGGAGGGGAGAGAAAAGGGAAAATATAAATGCAATTTACAGGCCTGCAGCTAACTAAACAGATAAAAATAGTTTAATAGTTAGCACCCACCCTCCCCTTAGAGCCATTCCTTGTGTTCATTGATTGAACAGTTTTAATTTGCAGCAGTATCATATCACAAAGCTGATGGATGTTCCACAGGACACAGGTCTCTGCATTCTCCCATCAGTTACCACCTAGACCTTGGCCCACTCCACTAGGCACTCATTTAGGACATCCGTAAGTGGGCTCTGATCAAAGTATTCAAGTGCCATCTTTAGGCCATGGCTTCAGCTCAGGTTATGGGGGGGAAAAAAGAAACATCATCAAAAAGGTTCAGGGCCTTGTGTACAATTCATAATTCATCCTGGATTTCATACAAGAAATGACTGGATCTTGTGGCAGCATCAGGAGTGCTTGACGCAGGTACTCCACCGACTCCCTGAAAGCATCATGTGTGCAAGGTCCTCTGCTAGAGGTGGCTGTTAATCATCATTAATTGCCTTCTTGACATCCGTGAACACGATGTAGAAGCTGCAAGTTCTTATTAACTCCTCTTTTATCTCTATTCCCAGATAATTGCTGGGAAGGAGTAGTAAGGAGCTAGACGCAGCAGATCCGCGCAGCACAGCGCAAGGCTATCAGGAGACACCCGTGCCAGATGAACACTCCAGGCACTCCAAGCTCCAAGCTACTACTCCAGCTGCTGCCAGACCAGATGGGATCTAACTATACACCACTTAACCTGTAGTATCTGGGCTGGGATAGGCAGCTGTAGGCAGCAGGGCTGCTTTCACAAGGTATGGGAATGGGTTGTGGAGCTGCCCAGAAGAAGAAGAGTTCCCACCATGATGCTGGGCCGCATTTGGGGAGAAGAAAATGTTTATGAAGGATATGAGGAGCACTCTAAAGACTGTGTTCTCCTCTAAAGCAAAAGCTTTATCTGTTTCGGCCAGGAGAAGCCTAAACGTAAAATGTGTTCCACCAGGACCGTGATCTGATCTACCTCTTATTCCCACATTTTGTTCTTCAATACTCGCACGGAAATATTGAATATTTCACTCCAATTACTTCCACTGAAAATATAAGAGATCTTAAAATGCCAACTAACAGGTTTCATGCAATTATCTATCTCTAACGAAACATTTAAAACCTGAGTGACAGCAGAAATAAAACATCCATGAAGACACATAAGCTGTAGCTTGAAGAACAGCTTTGCTTGATGCTATTAGGGTCAATTTTGGCAAGGACTTCCCAGGGAACTTTACATCCTTGATTTATTCAAGAGAGAGAGCCAGAAAAATAGAAACAAAACCCAGAAAGCCTATTTGGCTCCCACCAGGTGTTCAGCCCTGGCAATATGAGATTTGCAGCAGCTCGGGGCTAACGGCACCCAGGAGGTGCCAAGCGACACGTGCACGATGCCCGGCTGAAGCAGAGCCTGTGGCTTCGCTAAGAAGGATTTACTGGATTGGTTCCGTCAGGCCGCAAGCCCGACGCTTTTTATGCCAGCAAAGACCATCTTGCCAGAAGGATATGATTTTTAGTAGCAATTGGTCTTAATGACAACAGAAATCCCAACTTTGGTGGTTTATGCTCCAAAGGACACTCCCCACCACCATCAGGAAAAATAATAATAATAATAAAAAAGGATCCAAATTAGGGTGACACCAAAGACCTGACTTGCCCAAATTGGGCATTTCTGGAAGAGCAAGGAGGAACACATGTACAACACGGGCATGAAATTACATCAGCCTTCTCAAACAAAATGTCACAGCACTACTCTAATTGCTTAGCAGGAACCATAGGATATGTCTCACAGCCAAGCTTAACAAAGGAAATTTCAGTGAAACCGGATTATGAGTTAATTTTCAAAAGTTCAGAGGATACACTGGTCCTCCAGAGAGAGAGGGATGCCCTCAACAAAGCTAAAAGTCAGGCTCTTCTCATCTCAAAAACCATCTGCACGCACATGAGCAGAGACAGTCAGCCAAAGCAAAACACGGGCAATTAATCAGAGACTAATTCCACGTATTTTAAGTTTGCTGGGCTCCCCTCTCCCCTTTCTGATCGCTGCTTGCACTGACATCCAACTCAACGCTGCCACATTCGCCTCGGCCAGGCCACCAGAGAGAGCTTGCGAGCTGTTGACACAAGGCATCAACTTCCTTCAGCCCAGGGCCATGGGTGTTTGCTATTCTTGCAATTTGTCCGTAAGGTAAATAATTTTGACACTTCATTAGGAAGAGATAGATGACACCTCAAAACCTGGGTTATGGCTGTCAAAGAAGAGAAAGAGCTGTACTTAATCTTCATCTTGCTGCAGTCTATCTTGCTTTTGTCGCGTGCAAGAAATACACAGGCGGGTGTTTCCTAAATCCTCTTATGATTGAGCACTGGTAAATATTTATGATTTTAAGAGGTACTGGGCCAAATCCAGGCAACATATCTCAGAGTCAAGGAGCTTTGGGGAACAAGAGTCTTGAAGAAGCAAGGCTGACGTTGAGGTCTCTAGAGGACAGGACACCAGAAGACGCCAAGATAGAGATTTTGGCCATGGCCCATTGCAAAAATCAAGCCAACTGCCACGAGTTCAGAGGTGCTAGAGATGGAAAAAACATAGGGCAGACGTGACTTTACCACCAAACAATTTGCAACCATCTGCAGTTCCCTCCTTTTAGGTGCCAAGCAACTGCTTGGAAAGAGTTGAATCGGCCATCTGTTTTCATGTCACTGAGCTAGGAAGAAGAGAGAAAACCAAAGACGCCCGTGCCCATTTTATATGGGAAATATTTAAAATTAACCACTGAGTTTAAATCTAAACAGCTAGTTTGCATTTATCTCACGTAACCAGGTTTCATCAAAATTCAGCAGTAGTTATGGTTGAGCGTCAGCGAAATTCAAGAGTAGCTACGTCTTGGGTGATATTTTTCATGCTCATCCCAAATGAGACACCACCAGACCCATCAGCCCACGAGGAAGTTTTAAGGATAATACGGAGAGAGTTGTTGCGCTGTGGCCTTGCCTTCATGAGTCACTCCAGGTCAGGGACTAAGTGCTGGGTCGCCACCCGGCACCTACGCTAAATTATTCCACTCAATACTCTACACATCTTCTCTTTGAGACACAACCAAGAGCAATCCACGCAAAAAGAAAAGCCCTGCCTCTTCCAGCGAAAAGTTCAGCGAGCCAAGATACTATCTAGAGATGCCTTCTTGGAAAGATATTACCTGCGTGCTTCAAATTATTACAATACTCCTTTTAGCAGGGCAAGTGGCTTCCTGACAGAGGCCAGATGTTACAGCAGATTTGCACGTTTGAGGGAACGCTGCTGTCACCATGAGTACGCTTTAAAGTGTTTTTTTACCTCCACCCACGAGTGCTTTCGCCCTACAGATGATTCCCTGTGATTCATAAATCATCTTTTAACGAACAGAAGAGAGCAACTGGCAAAGCAGCTCCGCTGTGCAAGGAGGCAAGTGCAAGAGCAGGATTAGCAAAGAGAAATTTTGGTGCTTTGCCGGAAAAAAAGAGTGCTCCCAGGCACCAGTCTCATTGCTGCTTCTGCCAAATTTGTTGCTTCAATGGTTTGCTTATCATCCCGAGGAATAAAACTGGAATGCTAAAAGAAATCCAGAGGTTATTGACATGAGGGGAAAATAACTAGAGGCTTAATACAGCTAAAGGTGCTGGGGCAGACAAATAATCCTGAAATTCCTCCTGGACATATCATCTTTTACATATCCATACCCAGCAATCTTACATATTTGTTTTATATACTCTAAGTAAAGAGTAATCTGCATTTTCCTATGCACCATCGGGGAAGAGAAGCTGTAGCATAAAAGGGCTGCTTTATTTCGCTAGTGACTATTAAGATATTCGAAGACTAAGAAAGGAAAAGGTTTCATTAGGAAGTCTATCAGGATGCGGCACAAAACGTACAAGAAAAGGTCTGAAGTGAAAATTTGATCAACCCCCAAAATCAGGTTTCCTTTAGGATATATAACTGCATTACACACACTGCTGTTTCTATTGCCATCAACTCAACCTCAGCTGCCTTCATACTAAACACAGTTATATCAAATTCAGTGAGTGACTGCGAGGGACTTGGATTCATAGGATTCATTCTGGGGCTGGCTTCTTTTCCTGCAAACATTTTTGGTGCAAATATATCTCAAAAGCTAAGGAGAAATCCAGAGTGGGGGTGAAAAGCACCTCAATTGCTTTATTAGAATTGTGACCTCTACTATTTGGTCACTTAAACGCACTTCAACTAACAACAGTAGTGAGGTTTATACTGGAAAAGCAAATATTTTAAAAGAAAGGGCTAACAGCACCACTGGAGTGGAAAGAGAATTTCCTCCAGTCATTTCCCTAAAGAGAATATATTTTTTTTCTCCCCAGTCCTCTGTCTTTGCTCCAGTTCCGTGCATTTTTCAGGAAACTACGACCAGACTATTAATACGGGAATATGATATTTTAGGATTCCTTAGTAGTGCCAGAGTCCGGTGCAAATTCGCCTCCAGAAATTCCCAGAAAAGAGGCTTAAAGAGAGAGAGGCTTCAAGCCTCTTTTGCTTAGACCCTGTGGTCTTGCATCAAATCACTGACCTGGACTCAAGAGATCTCATCCATTCCTTGAGCATCTTTGAGAGACTTTGGGGGAAAAGAGCAGGCTGATGGAAAAAATAAACATCAACCATTCTGTAAAGGTCAATAAGACAACAGACAAGAGAAGGAAGAAGGAAAGAGGATTGTGTGGGATTATTTACAGAAGCAGTGATCAAAAAAGATGTTTTCTTCCAATAAGCATACGTAAGAGCAAGCTTTCCACTCCGAGCAGAAGTGCTGCAGCTCATTGACTGGGGAGAAGCAACTTACAGCACCTGCCTTGGTCATGCATGTAGCATTTTCATGGTGAGATGTGTTTATACCAATATTTGATTGGCCTTTTCATCCCAAATTCCATTTGCATCTACAATTGAGTACTCTGTACTAGTTTGCTGCTTTCCCCACATTTTTTTTTGTTGCATTTGACCCAGGGCAGCTAGTTTGTATTTTTTTTTTTAAGTTTTCTCTGCCATGAGAACTCCAAGAACAGCTGGCTTGACCCTGAATTTCTACCATGATGCTAAAAAAGCCCCTTTCGAACCTCCTTCCTGACTGCATTGAAAGCCATCTGCAGGTCGAGGCTTCCCAACCTGCTTCTCCCAGATCATCTTTTCCATCTCCTGTTGAATAAACAAAAAGTGAAAATTCTATTAGCAGGAGCTACTGCTGCTGCAACGCCAGAAAGGTCCCCGAAATCACAAGTGACGCATGCAAAACCTGTCATAAACACCTGTGGAAAAGTAAGAGCAAGGATATGTGCCTGATATTTCCTCCAGCTGTCTCCTTGTGCCAACTCAGGGGATGTCTTTGGCTGGAACTGACCATTTGGACAACACATGCACTTAGCTTCTTGTAGACTCTCTATTTTTTTGTTTGCTTGTCTCCTTCTGTTATCAGGGCAGGTAAGTCCTTTGATTTATTTATTTATTTTCGTATTTCAAAACTCACTGTGTTTGAGCAGTTTGAAAACATGCGAGGGCAGCATGTTCATAAATTTGACTGCTGGAGAGCTGGAGAGCTTTGGGGACCTCTTGGTTACCTCCTTGATATCTCCTCCTGGGTCCACATTCGCAGGGCTCGGTTTCTCTCTCGCTCAAGCTCTGAGCAACAAACACCCCCTTGGGAAGAGCTCCTATATGCCAGTCACCCTAATTCTTCTTCTTACATAAGTCCTCTTAAGGAGGACCTCAATGTCCTCCTCTGTTTTCTGCGTCCGCAGTCACTGCGCACACGCTGTTTCCTTCTCTCTCTCCTATTCTACTTCTTTATTTTGCATTAAAGACAAGCGAGCAAACAATAATATAATTCTTTGTGCCCACAGGTAGCTTGAGAGTCAAGTCCCTAGAGAAGAACCTCTGTCAGCTTTTCCAGGTCTCCCTGCACCGTCTTTGGCCTCAGTGACATACTACTCTTCTCTCCCCTTCCTACAGATGTAGGTACCAATGGTTTTACTACTGCGTTTGAAATCTCATCATCCCCGGAACACACATGAGGTACATAGTACACTATCAGACTGCCAGGCTTTCACAAAGTGTTTTTTTCCCTAGAAATCAAGATATCCCCAGTGTTTGGCTCCTTTGCAAAAACCTTCCTCCACCTTCCAAATTCACTTCATTGCCCTCTCAATCACTCCCTTCCCACCTTTCACTCAGGGCTGCCTCCGTGATCTGACATGCTTGGCAGTCTGTGTTTCTGGGCTCGGCTGGCTCCCAAAATCCTTTCCAGAGACAGTGCAACCAATTTCGCTCATTCTGACTGAGTTTTCAGACCACAAGGTCATGGATGGTGTTCACATTTTTCCTTGTCTCTCCAGTGATTTATGGCTTCCCACTTCTTTACGCTGTGTAAATATGTGATCATTTAATCATTAATCCTTAGATATTCATATCTGGATTTTGTAACTTCCTAATGTAGAGCATTTTGGAGCTGGGGTCCACCTCTATGTCAGGGAAAAAGCAAGCTTTCTTCATCATCTTCCCATCTTCATCTAAGTGCCTCTTACACCATGGCCAGTTGGCCCTTCCTCCGGGTGAGATGAAGCCTGTGCCTGGAAAGTGTCCCATGTCCCCATTGCAGATGCCTTCCCAGAGGAACAAGTCTTTGCTATTTCATGACGCTCATACGCAGAACTCGCCATCCTTTGCCCCCTTGAGGAAATTGTACTTTGTACAAAACAGTAATGTTGCTTTTATCACCAAAAAAATATGCGTCATCTGACAGCATTTAATCTGCCTTTGAAAAAGCTTCTAGTGAACCATCCGGCTTGTTTTCCAAGAGCTGCTGCCGAACTCCAAGCAGTCTCCTTTACAACCTGCAAAAGCAATGGCTTTTCATCGGGTTGGCTCCCTGTGCTTGTTTGCCTGAGTGCAAGTTTTGTTTCGTACAAAGTGTAATTTCCCCAAGCGGGAACAGCTTAACTTATATCCAAAATTTTGCACTTCAGAAAGTTCTTTACGCTTTGACCACTCTATGAACATAATTAAATAGCAGAGTGCCAAGTGGTTGCTGCCTGCCTTGCTACTGCTTTCAACACTTGGACAGGTTGGTTGCTTTCAGAAAAGGAGAACTTGGTCCTAAGTTGTTATTTTTACTCAAGAAAGTCAATCCAGCAGCTCACCAAACATGAAACAACTTCACTGGTCACTGGAAGACTTCTTGCCATAGTCTTTCTCTCCATTCTGTCTTTATAGTATGTGAAAGTTACCCAGTTGAGGACGCACAAGTCTTGAAATATATATCACAGTTGTCATCTTCTCATATCAAAGCAGAAGACAGATGTGTAACTTTTCTGTGATAAAGTGCTATTTTGTCCTTACTTCCTTTTCATTGAATTGGATTTGTCTTCTTTTTTTTCTCTTAAAATGCCCTGCTCTTGAAGACTTGGATTTATCTCCTCTCCCACTCAATCTCTCAAGCATCCCTTCTCACGTGGAGAACCAAACCCTGACAGCCCGTGCTACAGCCTGGACAGTAAGACAAATGCCTTGGCTGGACCTGACTGCACAAATCATCCCCTAGGAAGCTCCTACAGAGAGTGGCCTTTGACTTTCAGATTTTCAGGCAGAATATGTCATTTGCACATAAAAAAAAAAAAAAGAAAAGAGTTTATCAGCAGTACCTCATGAATGCCTGATTTTGTTAAATATGAGGAAAACACTGGCTCAGAGTCCATTACTTGTCCATAATCATAATTTTATACTTAAATTTAAAATAATCACTCTTTCCTTCCCTTCCTGAGGATACACAAAGAATATGTGCAGACAACCTATCAGTTTCTTCTCAAAATTACTCAAAGAAAATCAGCAAATATTAATGAGTACAGGAGATCAACCCAAACATGTTTACAACTCTTACGAAGACCCTAGTTTCCCCATTAGAACAACAAAAAAAAAAACGTTACCTATAATACAAGTTATACGCATATTTCATTAATTAATGCTCCTAAATATTTTAACTTGGAAAAAAACCTACTATGTTCTTCTTGCCTGAACTGTAAGAATAGATATTCATTTTATTAATATCTGCTAACCACTAAGTGAAATGGATACCGCCTTTACCTAACGGAGCAATTCCTCTTTTATTCTGAAGGACAGAGGAAAAGATTAGCAGAAGTCTGCTAAAAAAGCTAGCATGATAAATTATGGTCCGATCTGGTGCAACAAGCACTTCTTAACTGTCTCCCATTTTATTTTATTTAAAAGCACAGTATATTTGATGCCACGCACAACAAAACTTCTGTCTTGCACCTGGTTTTACCTACCAGTAGAGTCGGGAGAAGGCTGGAATAGATTATAGCAGGTTAGAGTCACAAAATTGCAATTTCTTTCATGACTTCCTTGGACGCTACTTATATCCACTCCATCTGTTTGCTAATGGGGAAACTTTTGTATTTTGTATTGCTGCTGTGAAAATCAGGTGGCCCTTAAAACACCAATACAAAAGATGGAAAAAAAATATATATATAGATAAATTTTGCAAATTTTGCAAGTCTTCGGTCTCCTCTCATTACAAATCCTACCTGCATTTTCCCTTTCATTCAGGAATATGCTTAAGATAAGCACAGAGTGGAAACAAATCAAATAAAAGAAGGCAAAATATGCTGGACTTGCTCACAAGCTAAGCAAATATGAGCCACGGTGGTTTCTATCCAGGAGCCAATGTGAAATTATTGCCCATCTTTCTAGTCTCTCTTGTCTTATTTTAGGAAAGACTATCTAGCATGACAGCTTTTATTGCAAATCCTATGCCTACACATGATGCTAATTATATCCTATATATTATTTTACATTGAATTCATTTCTTTTTCTTTTCTTTAAAAATAATAGGCAGTTCATTTTACCTACAAATTACAACAGATTGCACAGACCTGAAATTGCTTCCCTGAAGCAAAAACTGCCATTTGCTATGCAAAGCACAAAGGGGCTGCTGCCGAGGAAAAACGTCCAACAAATTGGAGGTTCACAAAAAATAAACCAAATGTAAATTAAGGATGTCAATGCCATGCTGTGCTCCTGTGAAAAGATGCACCAGCAAAGGTATTTCCAAGGCTACTGAAGGTCACTGCCAAAACTGCCAGGCTCACCTTAACTTTAAGCACAGAAGAAAACATTTTCGCATCTTCTGACACTCCTCCAATGTAGAGTTTTTTCGTAAAGACGGGGGCATGGTCGTTCTCATCCTGCACCTCAATAAACACCTTGGCTGTATTACCTGAAACGGGGAAATAATATTTCACCGAAAGTAAGGGTATTTGTAACACCATAAAAACAAGTATCTTCAAAATAATGCCATCAGCCGCTAAGAGAAGTAAGAGCTTAACATAAACCAAGATATTTTTGTGTGTTTTTTAAAATATACATTTATTGATTGGACCTCAGTTTGACGTTGACTTAGAAGTTAATTCATGGCGTTAACTGAGTTCACTCCTAAGCCCTCCTTGAGCACAAATCCAGCCTCCTTATTTCGTCGGAGCACGAGAGCTTTTGTTTTGCAAGTCTTGGAGATTCAGCATATCTGAAAGCTGAAGAGAAGCCCTGACTACTTCTGGGACTTGCCAGAGTCACCAAGAACATCACGTCTGCCTGGTGGTCCCACTCAAGGGAAGCCCATGAGGACTTCCCCAAAGTAATAACCTGGGGAAAAACCTTCAAAATATCATAGCGAAGATAAGAAAAAAATCCATTCAAAACACGATGCATTTAAAATGTATCAGTAGAAGAAAAAAAAAAGAGAGAAGAAGAGGGAAAAAGGCATATTGTCAAAAGAATAATCGATTATTTGCATCAATCTGTGCAGCTAAGCTAGACAACCTGAAAAATCACAGAAGAAAATTACTTTTACGCGTGTGAAAAGCAGCTGTAATTCTCTGCAGTCTTCTCTAGTTGCCTGATGTGCATTTTCAAAGAGAACTTCTTGCCTTGACTATGTTATTTAACACAGCAGAGAAAAAATGTTAACTTTTATGTTAAATACTATAAGGCTCTGTGAATAGCCAGTTCTTGCTCTTGTCGCACCTGTGGTTTTGGCTGCAGCACTAAATGGAGGGAAGACCTTAACTGCATCGCGCTGGGCGCCGCGTTCACCATGCACAAACTAAATGAACCATCTCGCGCGCCGCCCTCACAGCCGCCGCTATTTCAGGCCGCTCTGGTGGAGGCGGCTTCCCCTCGTGCCCAGTTTGCTTTGCAATTTGCTCCCTGGCATTTGCTGCACTCGCTGCCAGCTGCCAAAACGCCCATTTGCTTGGAGCGCTCTCAAAACAAGAAGGGAGAGTTAATGCATTAAATGCAATGCAAGCTAAGTATCGTTATTTAAGCATATGCAATGCTAATATTAGGACCATTAGCATTAAACATATCTCTTCATCTTAACTTGTGTTGTATAGAAGCAGCAGGCACCGAAGTCTTGTCAAATTGTGTTGTATAGAAGCAGCAGGCACTGAGGTCTTGTGTGGTTATATAATGTATATACATATAATAATATATAAGCATAATTCTTAATTCCCCTCACCAAGCTACCTAAATAGATGTCCAGGTGAAAGCAGAAAGTGTTTCCCCCGGTAAAACCGGCACAAGACAGTGAGGTCCTGGACACGGGGCTGCAGGGCAGTGGTATCTCCCAGGACTGCAAGACAAAATGTTGGGACCTTGCAACTTCTGAGCTTGGCTCCAGTTCAGTGGAAACATCCAGCAAACTCTTCTACGGGAAACCCAAGGATCCTTCGAAACAGAGCAAGCTCCTGGCTATGAATGAAAGTTGAAAACACCCCTAAAAAGCTCAAGTCACCATTAGCATGTGCTAGTTTGTCTACAACTTTGTCACAAACAGGCGTGGAGACAGCTTTGATGGCCCAGTGCTGCTGTTTTATGACAGTGTTGCCTACACGTGGTTCAGGCGAACCCTGCTGCTCCTCCACGGGCTGAAGGCATCGAGCTCCAGCAGTTCTTGACCGTGGCAGCACGACAGGCTGGCTGTTAAATTCCCATTCCCCGAGTCGTTTTCCATGCCGCCTTTCCCAACGACACCGCTCTCATCTTGCAGCAAAACAGCCATTGCCACAGCTGCTCTTCGTACACCAGTGGTTTTAACGGAAGAACTCAACGTGTTAAACAAGCAGCGGCTGTTTGCTCTGCCGGAGGGAACGGCAGATTGTGCTTTTTTTAAAAAAAAAGCCAAAACCAATATAATTGTTCCTTCTAATCAAACCGGGACCGGGGATTGGAGCTGGACAGGATTCAGTCGTCGTTTGCTTTACGACGAGCTCCAAAGGCCGCCAAGCCGACGCGCTGGCAGGTGAGGCCAACCCAAGGACAGCTGCGCTCCATCTCGGCTTGCAGAATCTGACAGGATCACACAGGAACGGCTGAGGTTACTTTTTTTTTAACAGCATTTTGATATCAGTCACTGCTGAAGCTTGAAGGCTGACCAAGAATGGTGTAGGGGGACATACGGGGCGTGAAGGAGTTGCACGCTGGGCAATGCTTGGCCAAGCCAACAGGAGGCGGAGAATGGGTCCCCTTCTACTCTCCATCACCAAGTCCTGTCCCACCAAAGCAGCAACCATCTGACAGGAGCAATGACCCTCCCCTTGAAGCCACTGCAATATCTAGCATGTCTGATGGAAATAGAGATAAGGTGCAAGAAGATTTCCTCCTCAAATGTGCTCCCAATCCAAAAAGATGCCAGAGCCACCAAAAATAGCCCTTCTGGAGCACTAGTTGGGAGCAGAAAAGCAAGAAAGATGCATCTCTGTGACCCACTGCAGGGCAGCACCTCCACTTTGCAGAACATGTCCCATTTCACATATGTCTGCGATTTCCATTTTCACATTAGTTCTTCATCATATTCAGCGAGTGAGAGCTGAGAGATCCTCACAAGAAGGTCGTTTATGATCCTAACCTGTCCTCAGGTAGCCCAAAGCACAGATCAGGACTCCCCTGTGCGAGATGCAAAGAGAAGACACCAAGATGCTCAATGGTCTAAATCAAACTGAATTAGAAAAAGCTGTTAATGCTAAAGGGCATTTGCAGTTCAGCATGGCAAGGGGCTGATTTCTCAAGCCGATACCGCAGTCTTTAATGCAGCATCATCCAAAAACCTAAAGCACTCATCCCCATCACTGCAAGGTCACCCAAGTCTCCTGCAGCATCTTCTTCCACCACAGCTCATCAACTCAGTGCTGCCAAACTCCAGCGCAGCATAGAGCTTAATTAAAGCTCATCAAGGAAGGTAAAGGTGAGGAGAAATCAGAAAGGTAGACATCAAACAAAGGAACCCTACCTGGAGACCAGGGGGTATCCATTACATGGAGGTAAATGATTTGTTGTTGCAGGCTTAGCTAGATACCATTTTTCTCTTACAGTGCATATTTAAAATATATGCATTAGACCTTAGAAAATAAAGATGATGCTTCCACATAAGATTTGTGAGGAGGGGAGAAAACTATGCCAGCAAACATGTTTCTGCAAGACTTGTTTATATATGGAGACAGGAAAAACTGTATTCAGGACCCTGGTAAAACCAGAAATGCTAATTCTCCAGGGAGGTGATGTTTGCACCAGGGAATTTCTATTAATGTCATCTCTTTCTGCTCAGCAGCAAAGATGAGCACCACATGAAGAACTATTTCCCATTAAATCTCTCTTTGTAAATGAGAATCTTGAGCCCAAGAAACTTAGGAGGAGCAGTCCTAAACCTATGCCCTGATTTCAGGGTCATTGTATTTTATTTTAAATTTATGAGGTTTCTGTTCAGTAGATTTAGAGAACTCCTTCAACTGCTTTAAGGCATTATGTGATCATATGACATATCAAATTCGGGGGAAAAAATAGTAATAAAAAAAGAGAAATACAGAGAAAAAATACCGTAGAAAATGAAAAGTAGCAACACTGGCTGTACAAAAACCTGTAATATTAAACTACCTTTCTTTTAACAAGTCAGAGAAGACCGGAATGCCTACATTTTTTTTTATTATGGTCAGCACGACAAAAATCAACAAGAAAGTTTCCCAACGCAAAGGCTATATTTTATTAGAAGGAAAACACTGCTTAGGGAGAGGAAGAAATCCCTTAAAATGAGCCAGAACCAAAATAAAAAGATCAGTAAATAAAACAAACTCTTTTTTGCCTGGAGGTAGTGCAAAACTATTCTTGCAGTATTGTTTTTTTTCCCCTGCAAGATTATTACTATTATTAAACTTACTTTTGGAAGGGACGCGCAGATTGGACCGGACCACTTGTAACGAGTCTGCTTGAACTCGGAGCTCGTAGCTGTTCACCCTCTCGTAGTCCAGAGGCTTTTTAACTGAGATCACACCCGTCTGGTTGTTGATAGCAAACACATCTGTAATCCAGCAAAATCAACAATAACTCCCTAGGATCTGCATTTTTTCCACTTTTTTTTCTTTTTTTTAATGCAAAGGGCTAAGCTCTTTGATGTTGTCTTCAAACGAACCCAAGAGCCGAGTCCAAGCTAGGTCTGAACTCAGCTAGGTCCTACGAACGACCAGCAACAGAAAGAGCCAAATTCCTCTAAAATAACTCAATTTTTCTTCCAATAATTCAAACCACAGCATCTTCCCTTAACATTGTTCCTCTGCAAGGCAGGTGTGAGCTGACCACACTGTTCCTAAGAGCTCACTCAAATATACATTGTGCGTCTTGACACAGAGGAAGAGCAGGACCTTAACACCAACCAACACGTGGGTGCCACTTTGTGGACATAAACTGTCTCAAGTTTTCCCCAGAGACAGCGTAGCAATGGGAACCACTGCCACTTTCCAAGGAGCAGAGTTGCCCTCACCCTTCACTCTACACAGCTTTGCAAGGAGCTATCTCCAAAGGCTTGGGGATGGCCAGGAGAAAGTCCTTATCACCTGGACTCCATGAGGAGGGATTTCATCTCTGAAGCTTTATATTTTGTGGGCAATTCTCCTGCCAGGCTGCAAGGCTGGTACTCACCCTCCTCGTTTCCCGAGACGATGGAGTAGACAACCGTCTGGTTCAGGGCCGCTGCGAGGACCACCGCGACCACGGTGCCTTGAGGAGCGCTCTCGCTCACTGCTGGTGGCCTGCAGAAGCAAACACAAGGACCTGCCTTAGCCCCTGCCTCCCCGCGTGCTGGAGAACTCATCAAGCGTCTCCCTTGGATCATCAAGCCGAACGGCTATCGCCCAAACATTGACCAGGCAGCAAAGCAGGAACTCCTACTCTGCAGGAACATCTCACGGGCATCCCGCTATCTGCTCGCTGTGCTAAGATGGTTTCCAGGAAATCAGCTGCAAACCAACCCAAGGGTGCATTGAGATCTCCTGCTCCTCTAAGTGTTTAGTACACTATTACTGATTCCTTGTGGGTAGATTTAGAGATAAAACAAAAAATAATTTTATTAAAAACAGCACCCAGGAGCTCTAAAAATTAGATTAGCTGCTCAACCTCTCTCTCTCCTACTCTTTAGCCAGGAGCAGCTTGAAGATGTGCCTGTATCTCTCCCTCTGGTGCAGCTATTTCACGGTGTCATGCTTAAGAATTATAAGCTGCTACCGCAAAACATTTTTGCTCCTCATAAAGAAGTTAGGAGAAAAAAAAATTAAAAAAGAGCAGTGAAATAATGTCAACATCTATAAAGTGTTGAAAAGAGAGCACAAATTACACAAGGCTGTTTTCTTTTAGTTGCCTGTATCTGCATCATTCCTATCGTGATCAGAGGGGGACCTGGAGACAAACCATGCAGCAAATACTGTGTAGGGCACAGCTATTTTTAATCAAAGTGAAATTTTAACTTTTCCTCTCTTTCTTCTTCTCTTTTTGCTCCTTTTTTCCCCCGTGCTAGAGAGACTGAGCCTCTCACGCAGTTTTCAATTTGTGTGTGATCCAATACGCTTTAAATCCACCGTGAAATGTTTCTATTGCCAAAAGTGGGAACGCTGAGATTTAATCAAAAATTAAATTTAAAATCAGCCAAAGCAGTAATAAATTGGAAAACTGGTTTCATAATGTGATGTGCATGCATTACACACTCACTTCTACTATATTGATGTTTTAGATCATAGAGGTCCACGAGAACTTCATTTTTTGGGGCGAGCTGGGGATTTTCTTAAATTACATTACTCAGATTCTTTTAGATAAACCTGTGTAAAACGCTATTTAAGTCCTCTCCTCGCAAAATTATCTCTTCTCCCACATTAGCTGCTTTACTTTTTTTTGGCTGTAGCTGCTTCTAACCCTCAATGGTGTTTCACCTTAGGCTATTCCCTCTTCCTATGTAAGTTTATGAGCTCCTGTTCCTCGTGGGAAGCAGTTTCATTGCCTTTTTTTTCACCTGATGCTTTGCATTTTTTTTTTAAAAAAAGAAGTTGTGCAAAGCATTAAAAACAACCTTGAATTAACACATTTCCCTGGAAAAAGGTCAGCTGCAAACAGCACCACGGAGCTTCTCCAAGGAGTCGAAATGACATGGGAACCAAAGCAGGCAGAAGGTCTGCTGAGATGCATCATGTTCCTTTCTATGCTTCTACCCTCACTACCCTTACCCTCAGTCCTCAGATGGCTTCAAGATATTCTGGCCTTTTCATGGTATTTATCTCTAAAACACAGAGCTGGAGAGTTCAGACCTTCCTACAGTGAGCCAGTGTCACAGCCCCTTATCTCAGAAGCTGAAGGCCAAGTTGTATTCCCACCAACCCTCCGCCACCAGGCTCAACACATCTGTGCAATGCCACCCAGCTTCCCAAACTCAAGCAAGGCCAAAATGTTTCCATCGTGATTACCACAAAAGCAAAAGAGTGGGAAAAATCCCTGCCACGCTCCATAGAAGACTCTCCCGTATGAGGTGGATCAATATCGAGGCGCCCAAGGGTGATGCTGCAGTTCTGAGCTCTCATGATACCTCCCAATACTGGTAGAAGTTTCACACGACACCTGTGTCAGTATTTCTGTGCCCTGTTCTGTACCTTGGAGATGTAGATCTGTATCACAAATGTTGCCAACGGTTCTTCACCCTTTTTGGCATTTTTCATTAAGTAAAAGATTAAATTCCAGCGGGGGGAAACACATGGGAGGAGAATACAACGGACTTGGACATCCTGGGAAAACGACTGCACAACTGAATGCTCTAAACCTACCAGAATTAACTGAAATCATTTGGAAGGGTGAAACTACAACCTTACATGCTCATTTTGTAAGAAATTAAAGAAAACTCGCAGGAAGGAAGACCTGAAGAAATACAGCCCATGAGCTACCCGATGACAAACCTACCACGTTTAGAAGTGGAAGCACATTTATGCGGCGCCTTTTCAAGGCGGCCCTGAATTAGGGAGATTTCATGATGAAAAGTTTCCCCTACCCTAAACATCAATGTCAGACACCCTGTTAACCCATTTTGAAATTAAAATAACTGCTCGTCTCAAAGACAGATTGAGAAAAGCCTCTTTGAACACCCCTTCCCCTTGACTGCCGCTCCGCCTCTGTAATTTTGCTTATGATACACAGCAATTTGCTCAGGCGATCGCTGCCTACCGCGGTGACAGCTTTAATTAAGCTGAAACCATCGCGGCCCCTCTTGCACGGAGCAGCAGAGAGGAAGGCCCACGTGTGCCCAGATCTCTCTCTCGCACGTGGAAGGTGGCCACAATGCAGAGCCCTTCCTCCTACCACCGAAAGGAGATGCCGCCCTGCACCTGCATCAAGCAACATCCTCTAATTCTCCATCTCATATATTTCTTCCCCAACTGAAACTCTAGGTCACCGTACAAGCAGCTTTTCAAACCAGACCAGGGACCTGTAAGGCAATGGCCTTTAGGGTTTTTAATATGGCCTTATGTTTTTCCAGGACAAGCAAACCATGGCCAGTTTGGAAAACCCTTAATTTTGCTGGTGCTGCCACCTTAGGCTCCTGCACTCAAATTCCTCTTGAATGCTCAAGACTTGCTGTTGTTGATGAAGTTCAACCCCACCTGGGAGCCCAGGAATGACCTGTGGTTGAGGTGGGGCAAAGGGAATGAGGCTGCACCTGAAGACACTTGCAACTAAAAGGTGACAGAGTAATGAAATTCAAGGAAAATAAGACACGGTTAGGCTCTTGCATGAGGAAAAAACATTGCAACGTAACAGATACCTAAACATAACAATAATTTAACACTTGTCCTGATAGCAGAGCGCATTAATAACCAAAATACGCCACCCAATTGGTGTATTTTGAGTTTAAAAAAATAGCGTTTGTAACTTGAATGCATAAGCACTTTACCTGTATTCATCCTGGGTAAACCGGGGAATTACCGAAGGCTGCAGGACAGCAATTTCCACCGTAGTGGTGTTGAATTTCACAGGATCCCCATCGTCGTACGCAATGATGACCAACTGCAAACAACACAGAAAATCCCCCTCTCAGTGTAGGCAAGGGCATTTTTAGGTCGATTTGCAACATACTTTTTGCACAAAAAGTCAGGGGAGCTTTCCTTTCACTGCAAATCAGATACATTGCATAAAGAAGAACAAAAATATAGAGGGAAAAGAAAAAAAGGTGATTGCAAATCACAGGGTGAACCATCTGCTATTAAATATATCAAAACATGGTGAGCTGGAATTCTAATTGCACTGACTTCTATAAAATACATTTCTAAAACACAATGACAGCTTAATGTACCTGACATGTATTTTTTCACCCTCATGTCTAATTACAGATTGTCCTCAAGTACAAACTCCACAGACAACTTCAGCTTCTTTAATGGTACCGATTAGTTTTACATGTAGGCAGTGGAGCGCTTTTCTAGCGAAAAGTACATTTATCTACCCATTAAAACACCAAAAAAAGACAGCTGGGTAAGAATTCCCTGCTGCTAACAGAAACCATTATTTAAAATTGAGGTCTGATTAAGAAAAAAAAATATCAGGGACATCAAACAGTCTTTAGAACCGGCCATGATAATTCTGGAGTAATGGACAGCTTTCTAGCCTCCTCTCTCCATTAATTTGTTCTTAAGACTTAAGACCATCCTTAAGGCTGTAAGGACACATACTGGGAAGATACTGAGTCTTGTTTTGCCTTCCAGACTCGTCTCCCAGCTTGGCCAACCATCCCATCTCATTGCTACTGCTGCAGACCCCACAGCCCCATGCAACAGCAGAATACGAGCGCTAAAGAAATGCGGCCTCGACAGCGTTTGTACCTTAAACACGGTGCTTGGCTCTTCATTGAGGTTCACCCGGGTCACCACGCGGCCCGAGTTCTCCTCCACGTCAAAGATGCTGGCGCTGTAGGGGAACTGCACGACATCCACCTTGTAGCGGACCCGGCTCGCCGGGGTGCCCTGCAAGGCAACAACAGCCCAAACCCATTGGCTTCAGTCCTGTGAAGTGGGTCAACGTTTAAAACACCATGACAGGGACACGGGCCATGCTGAAGTCAACTTGCAACCTGCCTGCCTGCCACGTGTGTTTTTTGGGGAGCCTTCTCAAAAAGAAGCCGTATCTCATGGTGGAAAAGAAACAGTATCTCAACAAGGAAAAGGATCAGCTATTTGGAAAGATTTTGTTAGGAAGACAGCTGAAAAAGAAACAACCAAAAACATTTCACTCACTGAAAACACATAAAACATGAAGCAAACCATTGCTTGCATTTGTGACTCCTGAGCTTTTCAAAGAGCAGAACCAGGATGGTGTTTCAGGTGGGCTAATCCTGCTTTGAGCAATATTCAACATATGAGCCTGGCTACCTGCTTTATGTATTTCCACCTCCTAAATAAATATTGTTGCTTTTGACAAACAGCTTCCGCACGTCTCCATCGTATTCACAGCACCGTAGGGAAGGAAGGATCTTCCAAAGTCCTTCAAAGGCTGCGGAGTGTCCCTTCCTCCAACACGGTCCAAGAGGCTCTTGCTCTCAAATCAAGGGCATGGGCTATGAAACCAGCAAAAATTTCAGTTATGTGCTAAAGGACTAGAGGACCATTAGAAAAAAAGGCAGCACAGTAAGGATAGGTGACAACAGGACTGCTATCTCCTCCTGCCCTTTAACCATCCTTACTCATTTTAGGCCACCTCTTTTAGGTTTGGGTCTGTCAAATAAGCTTGGAGCATTGGTAAAATCATATAGGGAAGACCATGCTAAGAGTTAAAATTATTTTGCTAGACAGTGCACATTAAAGATGTGCAAATCCTTGAAAATGCCAGAAATGGCCGAGACCGCAGCGTAACGATGGTGATTACACGACTTTTCCCCCTGACATTCTGGGATTTAGTTTGTCAACACCGTAATTAAGAGCAAATTACCTGCTGAAATCCACTCTATTTTGTTTTAGAGAAATGGTCCTCATATTTGCTTGGGAGGCTAAAAGCTATCATTCACACTTGAGGTAATTTCGTTTTAAATAAACAAAATTCGCATCGTAATTTGCTTGGGAGGCTAAAAGCTATCATCACCAAACATTCACACTTGAGGTAATTTGGTTTTAAATAAACAAAATTCGCATCGTGCTATTCTTCCCGATATGGCCATCGAGTTGGCTTTCCTCCTGTCATCTCTGGAAATAACAAAACTGAGATTTATTTTCATTTACTGTATTCTGACACCAACACAATTATAAGAATGTCCAGAGAGAGTTACTGGGGAAATCTATTTATAAGTTTTAATCATCTTGAATATTAATCATCTTTTGCTTCTGTTTTGAATTAATTCAGATGCATCCCTATGTCAACAGCAAAACTCCAATACACTAGGCAATATTTGCAATTAAACCAACAGAGCAATAGGCTCTACATAGCAGGACCCATGCCACAAGCATGTTTTTTTTTCACTCATTCTTGGACACCATACTAGAATTCACTAATTACCATTTGTTAACATTTTATTCAAGCGTGCTCCATTTCTAACATGCACTGCGAGCTGGAGGCAACATTCTTGCTATTTAACAGGAATTTTATCCCAGCAATGACTTCAGGGATGAAAAAAAAAAAAAGCTGCAGAGTGTGCAAAATACCCAAAGTGCACGTTCAAAAAACAAATATTGCATCTAAATAGATCATCATTAGGGACCTGAACCCAGAAATGCCCCTGCGAGTTGAAGATGAAGAGGAAACCTTGTTCATGGTGCACACGGAGAGCAGGAGGCCATAGAGGGCGCACCGTGCGCGCCTGGGATAACGCTCCCGCGCGGAGGTCGCCGGGAAAAGGCAGGACAACGAAAACGGTGAGAATAAGCCGTGTTCTCATATATATTTCTGCAAGCATTTTGGAAGGGAAGCTGAGACTCACGGTCATTACCCAGCTGTGTAGGGGTGCAAGAACCTAGAACGACTTTGCCCAAGCATCCCGGAAACAAAGTGCATCTCAGCTCCATCTGGCTTCCTCTCATAGCAAACATCCTATACGTGCATCTACAGGAATGGTCTGGATTTTACACCTATGTAGCGGGGTGAATAGTGGCATGGTGAATAAAGACACACCATCCATAGGCTTCAACTGAGGTCATCTATAGGCTTCTGACTGAGGGCAACTTTGTAGAGTTATTTCAATGAAAACGACCGAGGAGGGTGCTAAGAGCAAGCGCACACAGACGGCTGCACGTGCTCTTTATAACACCCGGTGAGTAAAGCGACTGCTAAAAACATGGCCCAGAATTGACTTATGGACACGTTACTGATGTTCTGCAAAAGCAGCATTCACCGCCCCTTAAAGGACAGTGATTAAAAACGCGTTGCATGGGATTCAGAAAAGAAACACCATCCAAATGCTGTGGCATCTAGGCACCAGCTCGAGCAGAGGGGGCAGGGTTAGAAGACCTTGTGGACACTGCATGGAGCTACAACCGTTTCCAAAGCTGCTGCTGCACCACTAAAATTTCCACCTCCCTACAGCGGCAGGACCCTCTCCTTGGTTAGGCTGCTCAGCTCTGCAGAAGGAGGGTCATGCCACCCCACGGATTTCTTGGAGGAGGGTCATGCCATCCCATGGATTTCTTGAAGGGGGGGTCATGCCGTGCCATCTCAGAGGACATCTGCCCTTTACAGGTGGGCTTCATACCAGCTGTGGGCTGAGAACTGAACACTTCTGCATAAAAACCTTAAAGGTACGTACTCCAGCTCTAAGATTCGAACCAGTTCAATCCTGACTACACAGCATGGTGCAAGAGCCTGATCTAGCAAATCCTGAATTAATAATTGCAACATGCTGCATACAAAAATAACATAAACTTTTAAGATCGTGTGATGAAACAGTTTTAAAAGCTCATTACACTGACAGCAAGCTTCTGTTCGGCAAATCTGCAACGGGTGCTCGGAAATCCAGCAGGAACGGTTTGTAAAAGATTGAGCTCTGACAGCTTTGATCTCTAATCAAATACTTGCAAAATCTCTAATTAAATGTCTTCTGAGCATCTCATTTTCAGTGGGTGTGTAGGAGACAATAGGGACGATTGCTCTCAGCTTCACCAAAGGGCTTCAGGGCACAGGACTGTTACAAGGTGGTACCAGACTAGACAAACTGCTCAGTGAGATGTGGTGAAGCCAGGGGAACAGGCTGCCCATAAAGAGCAGTGGTCTGCATGGTTTCTACTGAAAATAAAATAAGACTATGCATGGAAGAAACAGCCTGGCTTTTGCAAGGGTAACCTCAATGGAAAAAAAATAATAAAAAAGCAAATATAAATCCTAAGAACATGGTCATAAGGAAACTAAGCATCTATCAAATAACTCGAGACACTCTTCCCTTGTAAGTCCTTGGAGGACTAAAAGCACTTGGAGGAGATGGCTGTAATTACCTGGCATCTTTCGTCACCTCAGTAAGGGGCACACTAATCATGGAGAAGAAAAACTTAAGACATGCATAGGAATACAAAAATTTAAGACGTTGCATTTTCCTCACTTCCTCCCTTCTCTGCCACTCTTGGTCTCTGTCACTGGCATCTTTGACACTTCCTTCTCTTTTATCCCAGTCTCATGCCCATAACTCCAGGCTTCTAATGCTGCTGTCCTCAGATCTTCCTTTTCTAAAAATACGTATTTTGGTAGAGGGTATTATCACATCCACCCCGCAAAACAGGAGAAAAATATAACATGGACTGGAGCAATAAATCAAATACATTGATATTACATATATTAGAAACACACACAAATCTAATTTATTGCACTTCAAATACCAGAATGGTATTTCAGGTTAGATTTAAAAAATAAAATGTAAAGCTAACTTTGTAAAGAATAATTCTCAGTTACTACAGAAGAAAGTGAGATGAAACTGGAAAATAACAGAAGTAAAAAACTGATGAGAATTAAAAATGACATTTGCTCAAGCTGAACCTTCAAATCCTACTTTGGCCGTTAGCAAAATGCACTTGTTTCCAAGTTTTAATTGACATTTCACTACAGGGTTCAAGGAGTATCAGAGATCTCTCGTGCCTCCAGGCCAAGATTTTATAACCACTTTGAAATCCACAGGTTAAAATAAAACCATCATACAACCCCTACTTGGGAGCATCTGAATTTAGCACAGAGGTTTTTTGTTTGAAATCAGTAACTGGCAACAACGATATTTTTGCACCCAAAACAACCTATCCTCTACACTTCCACTCTAATGACGATCCGTCAAGGTTGACATTGGTGGCCTGCCCCTTTCTCCTAGCACGCACATGTCTGTCACTGCTGTTGTCACTGCCTTGGCAACCCATGGACTAGGAGGGACCCTTGGGCCTACGTAGGGGCCTCCCCATAGCTGCAGCCCTCCCATCCCTATGGCTGGAGAAGCAGCAAGTCCTGCTTGTGGGTCATCTTCTCCAGATCTTCCCTTGCCCCTGCTCTTCTCCTAGCACAACTCAAGTGCAGCCCCGGGGATGAACAAGGCGAGAGGATGGTGTCTTCGGGAGCACAGGGAAAGCCAGGGACAGCAGCAGACTCCTTGCTCCTGCCTCCAGACCTGCTCTTCTCCTTCTGGGACAGTCTTGTCCATACAGCAATTTAAACAAGTGGGCTCTGGCTCAACAGACAAAAGGTGTTATTTTGTTTTTCTAAAAATTTCTAGCAAATGTGTACCAAATCCCTCGTGACCCCACTGAATGTCAAAGCCAGCTCGAAATAAATAGGAATTTGCCGGTAGCACAAAATATCTAAGCAGGCTCAGGTCTTCATAGTTCTCTCTTCATCTCTTTTCCCTTCTTTTCTAGCAATAAAACACTAACTTTAAAAAAAACTATTCTACTTTAAAAACTATATAAAAATAAAAGGCAACTTCAGACTTTACGGCGATTTTAGTCCTTCTGTGCCTAAGGGCTAGCTTTATTTTCAAGTATTCCTACAAATCAAAGCAATGCAATAGTCGATCTCAAAAACATTACGGTGACATTAGTGTTCTATGCGCTCACGCCTGCCGTAATGGCAATAAACTGTGTCCCCCACTTTGCAATCTGCGTGTGTCAGGCATGTTCATGGATTTCTCTGCAGACACAGAAATTGCTGCCGTAACTTTCCGCTATCTATCCAAGATGAGAAGAAATCACCCAAAAGGAATCTGGGAGCAATAAGTATTTTAGTTGGGTTTTACATTCCCCTATACTCTTGGTACCTATAGGTGACCATTATTCTGCACTGTGCTAAAGAGCACACAAGCTCACCCACATCCAAGTGCTACATTTACCCACCTGTGCAACAGTGAGAGCTGCTAAAAATGGAAAGAGTCCAGAAAGAAAGAGGCAATACACGTGTCTACATAAAAGCTCTGCTGACAGTTCGATGGGCTATTAGAATTGCTTGCTTTTTTTAGGAAAATGTGAAATAACTTTGCATCAGGCAATGCTGATTGCACAGAAATAAAAATATACAAGCACACACCAATTCAATCGGTTGTTTAAGAATTTTGTAAGGCCAAAATACTGTGCTATAAAATAATCAAGAAGCTGAAACAAATACTGACATAAAAATGGAGCTAAAATGATTCTCTGTCATTGAAATAAAACACTCTGGTACTCGGCACTTGGTTTACTGAAAATGTGTATTAAAAAAACCATCTAAGCTACTGTGTTGCATCACTGCCATCAGCCTTTAACGCGCGTGGCACATTCCCTCCTGACAGCTCCCTACCGAGGTTATTCTCCTTACGATGCCAAACATCAACAATTAAAAATTAAACCTGGCTGGCGGCACATCATTGACTCTTAGTGTCCTCTGCCTATCACCCTGTCACCACTGTTTGTCAAGCTCTGCTCACATGAATTGATACTGCCCTTCAGAAGGGCTACCGAGCCAAAACTGAGCCCTCCGCGGATCACCCTGTCGCCAACATTTGTCAACCTCTGCTCACAGGAACTGGTGTCGTCCTTCAAAGGGCTACCAAGCCAGAACCACAGGGTCAGCTCTGCCAAGTGCTTCAGGCTTCATCTCCGACTCAGCCGCGCTTGGCTCACACCCGCAGGCCCAGGAAAGGCCACCAGGACTCATGATAATCACCCTCGGCGTGGTGAAAGTTAGGTCACTTAGGAGGACTAAAGACATCTTACTCTGTTGGAGGTGCAGAGCAGGAAACAAACCTTTTCACTTACCGGAGGATCTTGGTCCTCAGCTGAAACAGTGGTGATAACAGTGCCCTTGGCTGCATCAGGAGCCACCATTCCCCTGTAGAGCTTTTTGCTAAACACTGGAGAGTAATCGTTCATGTCCTGCAAAACACGAGTTAGAGTTTAGGTCTCAAGGGCCAGCAAAAATTACAGACACATTTGCAATTGTGGGTCTTTTTGGGGTTTGTTTTTCCAAACTCTATCTCAACCCCTATTTGTAATCTGCAACCTCTCCTGGCTCCCATTACAAAAATATAAAGATATATATATATATATATATATATAATATATACACATATACACACCCACATGTATATGCCCATATGTACATTAGCTGGTGTTCTTTGGGCAAAAAGTGCAAACCTAAGGCTATGGGCATTGACCTGCACATTGAGTGCTGCAGGCACGGATGCTCTCACCCAGGATCTCAGCTATTCAGAAGTCATTGGTTTCACCCGTCCCAAGTCACCTGAAAATCTATTTTTTGGGGTCAAAATTCTCTCCCTGAGGCCCAGTAAATTTATCTATGTATTCCTTAAATATATATATATATATATAAAATCTTAATTTTAAGTTTTATTCCAATGTAAGAATTTGCTTCCGGCTTTCTTCACAGAGCCATCTTCATAACTTGAGTTTTTCTTCCCCCTCTTGCCCCTTTTTCCTCCCCCACCCCTCGCATAAGCAAAACACTCTTCAGCTTTGGGGCTGCAAAAGCAAAAGACCTAGGAAAAATTTATATAATGGTGCTTCCCACCTGTTATAAGCAAGTTATAACTCCTCATGCAAGAGTGTTGGTGTGCTACACTACAGGTAACTTATACCATTCATCCATATTTTGTCAGTGGACATTACAGCAAAACAAACATCTATATTAAAAATAAAAAATTGCTCTTACAAATCCAAGTATTGTGGACTTGGATAATTAACACATCAAGCTCTGCAATTCAAACCTTCAAGGCCTTGTTTCTCCTCCGATTTTAAAAAAGACCTTCAGATCATCAAGTTCAAATGAAAGACAACGAGCAAGGCAATTCAAATAGCACTCAAATGAATACGCTTTGGGGAAAAAAAAATTAAACGTAAACGGAGTAGCATTTCTGCATGGAGATCCACATGCTCTGCTCCTTCCCCTTCTCGGCCCATTTGCGAGAAGTTAGTTTACTCTACTGAATTCTCAAAAAGAAAAAATAATAATAAAAAAATCAAGAACTCTTTTGCACAAGCAATCTCATCCCAGCATGTGAACAATAGGGCCAGCCTTGCTTCTGCTTCACCTCCTGAAACGTCACCCGGGAGCAACCTCATACAGGTCAACATCAAAAACTATTACAACCATGTAAAATCAGAGTGCTTGACTTTTATTTTTATTTATATATTTTAATTTTGGGGGGATTTATGGATCCCTGGATATTTTTTGGAGACCCCCAACCTTCTAGGAACAACAGGCATGCAGCCAAGACACCTCCATCGCCATTCACAGGAGGTCACCATCATAATTCCATTAACTTAGGTATCTATAGTCATATGTATGATGCTATTATTTCCACTTCAAGTTATACAGCTAAAAGACTTGTTCAGAGTATTGACTCTCATGAAAAACAGGAAAATTATTCAGAAAGAAAAGAGTGTAATTATTACCTTGTGTTATTTCTTCTTTTTTTTTAATATTTATTTGGCCCACTAAAGCAAGGCAGAAGTTGCAAATCGCTGCTACCTCTGATGCAAATATTAGCCATCTCCTTTCAACACATGTATCAAGCTATAATTTGCTATAATTTGCAAGGACCGAGGTTGGAGGATCGAACCGCAGTAAGTAACCCCTGGGGTTGGGACCGTTTGCTGATATTCAGATATTTATTGATGTTCACTGCAGCACTCGCTTTTCCTGAACCTGGAAATTCATTCAGATTCATCTTCAGAACAGTCCCACCCCTGAGACTGAGGCACGGAAAGGGTTTTAGCATCCATCTGGTTGTCCAGCTTGCAACACGGCGCAGCTCGGAACTCCAAAGCCGCGGCAGGGTACGGGCTCTGCGAGGACCTACGAGCGCTGCGAGTACATATCTATGTGCAGAAACACCCCCATGCATCCAAACACCTTGTGAACCAGCAGAAGTCTAAAGGGACAGTGATGCAAGGGATAAAAACTATAAACCATAAACAGGAGCACCCAGAACCACGTAGTATGGAGCATCATTGACCCTACCATTCACCTAGCAGCTACAGCTGGACTTTGTGCTTTGAGGAACATCCTCACTGAGCTGATGACAGGAACTGTCCCACTCTTGCTCCTCATGACATGTTGACCTTGTGCCTGCACAAGACCTGCCCTACCTTCGTCTTTTTTTTTTTTAATATTTTTTCTTTTTTTTCTGAATATATTCCTATTTGAAGACAAATGCTTTAAAAATATATTTTGCTTCTTTCAGAAATTCACTGTGTTGGCAGCAAGTTGCTTTTCTAGCAAAAGTAAGCTTGAGCAGCTTTCTCCTTTGGTGCATATGCAGAAGAGGCTCAGAGATTGACATCAGAAGCTATTTGGTTCTTGCATCTACTTGGAAAGTGCTGAGGAAGAGAATGGACGAGTAGGAAACCTTGGCATTGTATCTCAATCCCAGAAATTTTGCTGAGATGGAGAGGCATTGCAGAAATATTCTACACCTTTGTGGTCAGAGCTAATAACCCGAGATGTCCCCTTTCTCTGTGGTTATTCAGGGAAGCTGAATTGAGCGGAGTAATTCAATAATTGAGCTGAATAATTCAATAATTGAGCCGAAGCTGACAAACAGAATTACTCAAAATACTAAACTGAACCCAGCCGACCAACGCAGCCAACTAAGACAGGTAGTAAAACTGCTCATGTCTGAGCTCTATTTTTCATTTGTGGATCCTTACAAAAAACAAAACAAAACAGCGTCATCCTCACATTGCTGGCAATAGGGCTGGAAGATGGAGGCAATGCTGTAACTCACCGTCAAAAGCAACTCATGGTGAAAAAGTGCTAAATAAGCCTGTTTCTTTTGCAGCTCTGTATTTCATGCAGCAGAAGCTCAAAGGTAAGACACAGCGTGCCACATCAGCACTCAATACACCCGAATGGTTCATAAAATTGCAATTTATGACAGCTTTAACTGAAATATGATGGCGTCACTTTTGCAAACAATCTTATTCCCATCTTCCAGGGTTGCCGAAGGACTAGATGTTTAGATCTGCCAAGTCTTCACAAATCAACCTCTCTGCTTCATAAATCCACAAACCAAGGTTTAACTACGTAATTCCGTGCAGCAGAATAATTACAGCTGCTATAAACTGTGCAATTAACTGCGCTAGTCAGTGTTGGGAAAAGGCCGTCGCTTCCTGCAAAGGGAGAAGGAGCGGAGCAGGCCCCCGCTGCCGGGCTTCGCCAGGACACCTCGCAGGGCTGCCCGGATACTGGGTGCTGAGCACGACAGATGAGGTTTTCCCTCTTACCTTGACTCTCACAGTGACAGTAGTAAGACCCGGGGGCATGGTGCCCTTGCTGTCGAAGGCTTCCACTAGAAAGGTGAAGGTGGCTTCCGTGTCGGAGAAGGATTCGTAATCCAAGGACTTGAGGAGCGATAGCTCTCCCGTGTACTTGTTTAGTGCGAAATACTGCTGTGCTTCCTGCGTCCGTATCCGATAGGTAACGTTGGAGCCGAGATCCACATCCTTAGCCTGCAGAAGGCAATACAGGAAAAGAGATACCTAAGAGCTAGCAACACTCATTTTCACACAGACAAAAAACCCCCAAGCTATTTTCATCAGTATGATGAGCATTACACTGCTGATCGTCTGGCTTCTGAGCAAACCAACCTTCTCCAAGCAATCTCAGGAGGCACTCTGCTGAAGAGGACGCCGAGCTGAACATCAGCACAACACATAGACCTCTTGCAGGAGGTGAATCTCCACTGTCTTTAGAGACCTAGCTTAGCCTTGAGCATTTAGCTCTCCCAGTATCTTTAATAGTCAATGAGCAGAAGATGTGGACACCCTCAAGGGCCTGCTTCATTTGGACATCTTGGACAAGCACTGTTTGAATTGCTTCCAGAGGCAACTTGTCTTCACTGACTATAACGCTGAGTGAAGACATTTCAGTTGTCTAAATTAATTGGACAAAGTCCTGCCTTTGCGAGTGAAGAAAATTGTTAGGTGCAACACGATGAGCTTCCAAGAACAGAAAAAAAACCACTCAGGAGAATAAAACACTTTTCCAAGAGATTGCCATAGTAGCACGCTTCAATTTTTCCAAAGACAAATCGCAATAGTCCCTGGCTTTTCCAAGGCTGCTTCACCATCTAAGTATTTTTATGTCCTTGTTCAAAAACACGCACTTCCCTGCCGTTTTCTTACCTCTATTTGCAGGAAGACGGTGCCAGGCGGCAGGTTTTCCGGCACGCAGACTGCGTAGGACGAATTTGTGAAAACGGGGCTGTTGTCATCGATGTCCAGCACCTTGATGGCCAGCGTCAGCGTGGAGCGGCGGGGGTCCGCAGCTCCATCCGTTGCTTCCACAATGAGCTCGTAATAGTCCCTCACCTCCCGGTTCAGCTTCACCGCGGTGTAAATGCTGCCGTTCGACGTGATGCGGAAAAGGTGGTTGAAGTTTGCCAGGCTGTAACGAACTTGCCCATTTACTCCGGCATCTGCGTCTGTAGCCTGCAGAAACAGAGGAAGAAACACCTTATCTTAGGATGTATTTTAAATGCAAGAGTCATACCCGGGTGGCAGCACCAAGCTAAGGTTCAAAATTGATCTCCAACTGTTGTGACTTTGCTCTGTCGGTCTCTTGGCACCCACCTAACCCAACTAAGCCTCACATTTAAGCATCAGTAAATAAATCTTGCTGTTACTCGCCCTTCTAGGGATGGACAAGATTCAGATAACTTTCTTCCTAGGGCTGGTAGATCCTTAACATAATTTGAAAGATGATCCATTGTTTTTTTTTTTTTTCCCCCTCCTCCTTAATTAAATTAAGGCATGATTAATCAGGTCACACGAATTAAGCAAAGGACATTGTGTCAGCAAGATGTTTGCAGTTACCTGCCCTTATAAATGAGAATATGGACCACTGGGAGGACTGCAAGAGATTCTGCGGCTTTGTTATCAGAACAGCCATCAGGAAAGTCCCTTGAATCTTTAATAACAGCAAAGGTGTTCATTATGAGACTTTATAATGAAACCATTTATCTTCCCAGAAATCAATTAAAAGTTAATTAAAATTGTTAATAGGAAAAATTTCACTCCTCTTTCCTCCTGCCCTACATCAATGCAATAATCTGTAAAAGCTACAACTTCATACTGACCAGTCTTTAGATAACACAACTTTTTAATCAATGTATGGCTGATGGAGTTTGTTTACAACTGATTCGATTTCTCTTGTGGTCCTCTGAAAAGCCTCTAGCCACTGTCACCCCTCAGATCTGCATGACTGTCCCCAGCTCTCACAGGGTTAGCTTATAAAGTACCAGAGGACCAGGAACACTTGGAGACCCAGGAATGCAGCTGAATCATCACTTTATTTTTATGGTCTATACGGTCTACAAGATTAGAGCTGCCATCTATTTTAGGAAGCCCAAATTTCAATTACCACCTATACTTCAACATCAAGAAAAACTCATGAACAGAGCAAACAGCGCCCCAAAGTAACATATTATCTTCCTCAGCTCTCAAAGAGCTTGAAAAAACAATTCTGGGAGACCAAAATCACCAAAGCCTCTCTTAAAGGGTCATTAATTCTGAAATATAATGACAAGCATTTAAATGTCAACATTATTAATTGTATCATTAACGGTCATTTTCGAAGAAGCCTCCTGCTAACACGCACAGCTCCTGCCTGCACCGGGCAGCGACAGGACTGCAAGCTTCAACCACATTAAAGCATTACTTTTAAACTACACCTTTGATATAAATAAAGTAGTATCTTCTTTACAGGACTGTAGCATTACAGGAGCAGCTTTTGCACAAGTTTCAGATAAGAAATATAAAGTCTCTATTATCTGTTCAAGCCAAACCAAAAAGCCACGCAAGAGTTTTTAATGTACATGTTTCTGCTGTGCAATTTCTTGCAGTAAAACTTGGCGTTTTGAACTGCAAGAAGAGACAGCGACTGCGTTACAATGTGAAACGTATCGAATTATTGCATAAAGTCATTCTGCAGGATATACAATGAAAGAAGATACTTGCAACACTGGGGACACATCGTGTGAGTGATCACTGGTGGTGGCAGCCTGTGACACAGAGCCGGGCTGTCACCTGGGGAGGCGAGCCCAAAATCAAGGCAATATCCTCCCATTTTCAAAGGGAGGATATTCAATATCCTCCAATTTTCAAAAATGTATCCTCAACACTTCAAAGCCCTTTTTAAATACTCTCGCATCCTATACTCAAACAACTTAAAAATACCCTAAAGACTACATATAATCTCCTTGAGTGTTTCAGCAGATGACAGAAGTCCCTCATTTGAACAAGCAATTCTTTCTTCTTAATAACATTTTTAGAGTAATTTGTTAGGGCAAAGGAAGCCAGTGGCTGCAAAAATGTAATTTAAGGAACCTCCCACTAAAGTTAATCACCTTATAATGCTTAACAATAGACAAGCTTGCTTTTGTTGGGAGTACAACCAACTCCTAAATGGAGAGACTAGCGCTGGCTGTTTTTTATGTGAAAGACAGTTAGCAATGAGTATGGTGGCAATCATTCAAGCCACAAGAAAAGGAAATCCAGACTAGAAACTGGAAAATAGATTCAAAAGTCTGCAGGCCCAGTTCAATCCTGCCTTGTGAGCTTAGGGAAACCATCATTTCTTAGTCCACTGATGGAAACCTCAGCAACCCAGTCTGAAAGCTGGATTCAAAAAGCTGAATCCAACAGCCCAATCCAAGAGTTGTCCATCAAGACACGTGTTAAGAGATGGGAAACTGCTGACTGGGGAAATGCAACATGGAGGGATGCAGGAGGACCAAGACCAAAAAAAACTTTAAAAGTTTTAGAATTTAGAATTTCCACAGTCCCTCCTCATCTATAGCGAGGGGACATCATCCACCCCTCGGGATGGATGCACCGGTCGCCCTGTTCCAGGCAGGAGGAACGACTCCTGGCCACGAGGATCTTTGAGATCATGGAGAGCATCCCCACAGTGACATCAGCCCTCAGATGCATCTCATGGGGGCACAGGGAAGGGACTATCTTCTTTTATTCCCATTATTATTATTATTGAAGACAGTTTCCCCAAACCATCTGAGTGCACCTCTATGCTAATGAGCTTTGCTTCATTGCTCTCATTGAAGTTAGAAAATCATTTCAAAAGCCCAAATCACTCCTTTCTGCACCATCTATTGCATTTATGAACTTGAAATGTCGGAAAGTACATCCAAACATTTGCAGTATAAAGAGAAAGCTTTTTTTTTTTTTTTCCCATTCGGAGACTGAGAATTAGGACTGGTGATAAACATGACAATAAATGATACAAGCAGTTCCTGTCATTCCCAACTGGGAATGAGCTATCAAAAGGCTTCATTAAACAGTTTCAACACAACACAACTCAGAAAATACATTAATTTGTAAGATATAGAGGTTCTGTTGCAACGACATATTTCATTTTATCATTTTATCTGAGCTAAAAATAGGCTCGGTCTCGTGTTCAAGAAGATTATTACACCTTGAGGGCATCCAGCAGAGCGCAAAATGGATTTTGAAGATACTTAGCACTGATTTGAATTATTGTGTCCATACATTTTAAGATGTATAATGAAGAACGACCACATAAAATGAACAGAATGACAGTAATTTATAAATTTATGAGGAGGGATTTAATTGCAGGAATCCTAATTTCTGCATGCACAAAGGTTCCTCAAAAAACCTTTGGAAGTAATTGGCATTTTAGTACAGCGTAACAAAAATGAGCTTCAGGAAAACTCCAGTCTTCACCAATGGTGGCAAAAGTCCTTCGAGTCCTTTGAGTCATCGCCCATGAAAATTACAGCTGAGTTTGGACATCTTCAGAGCAGCACCTACCTTTGATGGCGTCAGGCTATACGGCAAGAAGAGTAGAGACACGGACAGCACTCCGTAAAGTGCAAATGAAGTTACACGGACGTATCCTCCAAAACCTAAAGGGCAACTTGAATTAAATCAGATTTCACGAACAAGCAACAAAATTGGAATGAAAGTACATTCATCCAAAATGAACATGAAAAGATACATGCAAAAAAAGCTGGCGAAAACCAGAATAATATAAATTTGGAAAGAAGCACCATTACTACGGTTGTGTATCTGTCCTCTTCCTCAGGGTACAATTATTTTGTGCTCTTTTCCAATGGCCTGGGCTGCTCGTGCAGTAACATTAGGTTTTAGCCCTGCGGAGTTAGTAACTTACCCTTACTTGGCCGACAAAAGCATTGGCTTCCTCCTCCTGGACAGAGAGGTTTTTAGGCAGAAACATATCAAAAATGGGCCCGTTGTCATTTACATCAGTCACCACTATATTAACAGTAGCTGTTGAGGTCTGTAAAGAAAGAAAATTATAAATTATAATTATGGATAACCTTCGTTTTGCAATTTTACAGATGCCTTAGCAAGAGAACTGCCATCTTCTAGCTTCTCCCTTAGTCAGGCGGGATGTTTTGTATGCAGGTTGCAATACTTGGCATCAATTTGAGCCTTATTAATTTAAACGTTACAGCAACATCAGTAGAAAATGTGGTTTTTTTAACCTAAAACCATGGAAGATGGAGGCTAGCAAGGCGTATTTCCACTGGCCTCACGTTCCTAGTCTAATGATCTGAAGTACAGACTGCAGCATCGACACCGGCGCTTGCGGCGATCAGCTCAGCACCCCAGACCCGCTCCCTGCCTTGCTCAAGGGCATTTGCTCCTGCCTTCGGAGCAAACCACAGGGCACAAAGCGTTCCCCAACCTCGGAGGCTAACGCGCAAGGTCCGCTCCACTTGCGATACAGCCGAGAAGCAGGAAAGCCCATGGATAACCAGGACTGCACCTGCGCTAAGAGCTCTGGATTTTGTGTCTCGATCGTGCAAGCTTCGCCAAGTGCTCCCCAACAGGGAGCCAAGAGCTCCCAAATAGACCAGGGATGTGGGTTGCCCTAGCTTGCAGCTGCCAGCTTCCAAAAACCCTTGTGAGGAACTTTTTGTACTTACAACTACAGACTTTACTGTTGTTATTAGGAAAATAGAAGAGGTTTGCTTGGTGCTGGTAGAAAATCAGAGAGTCCAACTTATTCTTACCAGTCCCAGGAAGTACTCATGACATTGCAGTTGTTCTATCAACCCAAGCTGATACTTGGAGAAGACCTGCCTTCATAGGAGGGAACCTGACCCTGCAAATCCTTCCTGTGCAAACTGGAACTCGGCATCTGTCCATCAGCAGGGAATCGTGTGGCTTCCTCACATCCAGCTCACAGCTTGGATCGCAGAGAATAAAATCATTTGAGGAAGAAATGCAGGATCATGTTCCTGGTCATACTGCTCCTTCTCAGGCATTCAATGACTATTCATTCCCACCACACTGACAGATGAAAATAAATGTGCTGTATTAATGCCGCATTCAGCCTCCACAGTACGAACAGGTTCCACTGACTCTTCTTTTAAAGATCTTATTTAACTGGTTCTAAAAAAAGTCAAATAGGCTCAGACAATAGACCTTAAATAGAAGCCTTTGTGTACCTAAGATCCTTTCTCCTTGAAGATTTCCTGAAAACCCCACTTCTCCTTTAATCTTAATAGAGAAGGAAGCAGACAGTACCTACAGCAGGAACAAAAAATGTACTGTCATAAATTAAATAACGCTCTGCCCCACTACTGGAGGAGCAAATCTTGGCCCCAACCACCTCAAGGCAGCCCTACCTGCTTGCTCTAAGGTTGGCTTGATGGGTTGGCTTGCTCTGATCAAGAACAAAATGCACTAAGAAAGAAGGAATAACCCTCCAAAGCCTGGGCAGCTCCTTCTGTGGCCAAAACAGCAACTACAGGCACCTCTGAAGTCAAGCAGAAGTGCATTTTTGCAGTGTAGGGAGCTCTTATGTGGGTGTTTTCAGGACTGGCCATTCATATTTGGTGGTCTTCACACTCCTGAACACTACAGGAACCAAGGTCTACCCCTAAATTGTTTAATGGACTACCTGAAATTCCTCCTTCTTCCTTCCTTTGTTTACGTACCAAGGCAATGCAATGGAGTTTCTTTTTTTTTTTTCTTTATATATATACACGAATTGATATAATTAAAGAGCAAACAGCTTTTTCTGTCTTAAAAAAAAAAAAAGATGTGAATAATTTTTATGCCTGACTGGTCCCTCTGAAATGCAGAGGGGTGAGAAACCCAGCACTGCAATCCCACCTGCTGGTATCAGAAGCTGTGCAAGCGATTTGGAGCTTGCCATATTTTTTCACTCACCTCTCATTTTTTTCCGCCCCTCTACAAATTAAGCCTCAGTACTTGGGAAATAATGATGTTTCCTCGAGTGCTTAATGAACGTGTGCTTAATTGCTGGCTTAACAGGGACAGCTGGCAGGCCCACCTCAACTTCAAGGTCAGGCAGGGACCAGGCTGTTCACGCTCTGAGGTCCTAAGGCAGAACAACAGGAACTTTGGAAGCATGGTCAAGGATTTTGTGCAGTCACTGGGTTTTTTAAGGCCTTGGAAGGGGTAAGATGGTGATGGGCAGGCTTAACAACCGGAAAGTTGTTAAAAACCTTCTAGAGCCCTTTAAAGGGAAGAGAAACATCACTAAACATGGCAATTTTCAGGGATAGAGCCAACAGGGATGTTTCAGAATGAAAGCTCTCTCTTCAGCAGATGTTACCGATGATGGGAATGGTTAGCTTGGCCTAACATGGGGGAAAAAGGCTAGTTGGAAACTGTACTGCGTACCAGACAGATTACTCATGGTTTTGAGTTTGCTCTGTCTAATCCATCTCCATCACACAGTGCCCGAGACATTGCTTGTAGCTGCAGAGGAAGAGGTTGGGCCCCAGAAAGATGAGAAAAACAGGAACTCAGGGATTTAAAAAGCTAGTGTTGGTGACCACCACCATCAGAGGAATGTCACTTATCACTCCATTCACCCACGTTGAGAGCTGCAACCACAGCCAGGGATGGCCACATTTCCCACCTGAAGTATTCCATCTCAAACGTAGTGCCTAGTACATTATTATTATTATTTTACAATGAGTTAAGTGAGATGAAGTCCCTTAGAAGCTTCTAATGGCCAGGATCTTTGCTCACAACAGAATCTAATTAAAAAATAACATACTTATTTAAATGCCTTAAGGCCTTAAGCTCTGTTCATAATTTCTCAGGCTGAAGTTGCAAGAAGCCATATTGGCACGAATAAAAGTTATGTATTTCTCCCATTGTGCACATGTTTTCAACATCCCTTCTATACATTCTTGCTCCTGAGGGCTATGAATTAAGTATTCTGATTCACAGTGAAGTTGCCAGCAAAACTGTAGCTGACCCTTCCTTGAGGAGGAGGCTGGAGCAGCTCCTGGGGTCCTTCCCAAACCGATTTGTCTTGTGACCACTGCTCCTAAAGCCACAGGTTAGAAATGACTCTAAAACTTGCCTCCCAAATGGTAATTTTAGAGAAACACGAACATTCTTTAATCAGATAATCCTTTTTTTCCTTGGGCCTTAAATGGAATTTTTCAATAAAGACCCTCTCCATGCCAAGCAGTAGGTGGATTAATGTGGGGAATAGTAGCTTTGTTATCACAGTAACAGTTCTCCCTAAATGGACTATCACCTTCCCATTTCAGCTAGTTAAGAAGAAAAAGATCCCCATGACATTTTACAGAGTTTTTGGCATCCCCATGTCCTCCATGAGAAGATCGGGCCATTTCATCAGCTAGAGACTTTAAATAGGTCTATGACTTGAAGAAACAGGAAAAAAAAAAGCCCAGTTAAATGATTCTTGCTTATAAAATAAAAGCCAAAAGATTTTTATAACATCACCCACAATTCTCATCATCCTGTCATAATGAGAGGCAACGGCAGCCAGCTCCTCACCACTTTGGAGACTTCTTTTAAAGGCATATGTTGATGTTAAACATCGACATCACATCATTACAGTCACTTTGGCCATCTCTACTATTATGTGTTATTTTTATTTCCACACCTCTAGCCCTTCATCATGCTAGGTGATTTAAAATTCCTTTAAAAAATCCTTCTGAGGGTGATATAAGGGGATAGATGTCAAGTTAAGTTCTATGAAAGAGGGAAAGGATCTCTGCATGAAAGGTAGAAGAGTACTTTCTCCAGAACCTAAAAGGATTTCAGCAGTGCAACATTGTGCTAGACAGGCATGTTTTATTTAAATCTCCCCACTCCACAGCAGGGAGTTAGAGGTGAAAGCAACCAAACCCACAGCCATCAAGAGATGAGAGCAGTTCACAAGTGGAAACAGAGAGCCCCGCTAGTGCAGGAACACCACGTGGAGAGAGATGTAGGACATGATTTTAAGCTCAGACACCTAACGAGACCTCTTCACTGTTATTCCATGACAGAGCTTGTAGGAGCATTGCTGCGCTCCCAGGTGTCTTGCACAGCCCAAATACAGGACGCTCCTCTCTTGGTATTCCTGTAGGCCTTCAGAAAACCCTATTTCCACTACCTCTGCTCTGTAACTAAATACAGATCCTCCTCTAACTGTCCAGTGTTTAACAGCAAAACCTGCACAAAGCTTTTCTGGGCAAATGCTGAAGGAGGTTTAATGTGTTTGATGAGATAAAGAACAAGGCTAGGATATGGCTGCCCATCTAACCGATCTTCAGAAGAGGATTAAATGGGAAGACTGGTACTAGCAGCACAGAAATGAAAGGGGAAGTGCAGCAGCACATATTTGCGTATCACCTACTTTTGGCTGCACCACTTTTTGCTGAAAAGCAACAGAAAGGCAAGTGTAGAGGTAAGGCCGCTTTGCTTCAGGATCAAAGGACATTATCCAACAGGGCATAGGAAGCACTGACCAAAAAGCTTTCTGCAGTCAAGGAAAATTGCTGCAGATTACAGACACTCTGTATCAAGACCTATATAAAATTTCAGATCCCTAGATTAAGCCGGGTGTGTACATCATCACAGCACATTCTCTTAAACTTCCGCAGAAAACTCACCCCGTCTGGTCTGCCATCCGAGGCCGTGACGATGAGAATATAGCGGTCGGTGCTCTCTCTGTCCAAGGGCTTTGCTAAGGACAGCAGTCCAGAGCTAGCAATAAAACAGAAACACAGCGTGTTATCCCAACAGCAGCTCCTGGGGTAGCCTTTTTTAGCTCTTAACCTTTTAGCCTTTTTAGCTGGGCATAACCAAGAGGGAGATGGGGCAGGTGCAGACCTACCTGGTTGTTCATAACTTCATGACAAACCCTCTCTCCCTATCTGTGATTTAGTGTTTGGATTAAGAAAGAGCCATTTTGAAGTGATGCTCCAAGTCGGGGAGCTAAAGTAAACACTGTCCCTGTCATCAGCAAAGCATAGACAAGTGTAAAGGATTTTAATTAGTTACTCTAGTAGTAAAAGAGTAACTCCCTAGTTACTCTTTTTTTAATGTGAGCTAAAGTAAACACTGTCCCTGTCATTAGCAAAGCATAGACAAGTGGAAAGGATTTTAATTACTCCCTAGTTACTCTTTTTTTAATGGAGTGTTTCCACTTCGGTGAGTCCTAGCTACTAAAATTCTAAAAGTTTCCAGGCTGATTTTCAGGCTTATCCACTTACTTTTGTGAGAGGTTAAAAACTTGCTGAGGATCTCCATTCTGAATGAGGTATCTGATGGGGTCTCCTTCTCTATCCGCAGCCTTGAAGACCAAAAAAAAAGAAAAAAGAGGTCAGCTACAAGTTATAAATTAAGTACCATGAAAGATTAAAACTAAAAAGTGCTTTCCCACAGAGTAAAGGCAATAAAACACGTGAAGCTCTAGAAGGCCAATCAACAAGGTCTAAGAGCGGCAGGTAGGATCTGGAAGGAGATGAGTCCAAGTGAAAACAAAGCTATGGAGGGAGCCCACGTGAGCCACCCATCTACCAAGAACCGTCCCCTTTCCTTATCCATCTTGCTGAAGCTTTTAGTGGAGGCCACAACTTTGGGCTGCCCACCTAAAGCCAACAAGATCAACAAAACTCTTTGCAAGTAACCCAGGATGGCAATGTGGAGATGGCCAAGAGCGAGGCCAAGCGCCTCAGGAACAAGCCACGTCAAACCCACCAGGCCGATTTCCTTTTATAAGGGGACAACAGGTCCCATGAGTGAGGAAAAAAGCAGATTATTTGCAGACTTTAATTAGCAATGGCTGGCAGCACACAGAGCCATACACGGCTCCCAGGCACACAGTAAACTCCAGGGGTTATTTACAAACTCACCGTTGCAGACCGTTAGCTATTGCAGTGCTTGTGCTCAATGCTGTTAATTACAGCGCCAGCCACAATCAGCTGGTTGTATTTTAGAGAGAGAGAAATAAGGCCTTTCATCCCAAGCCCTTATTATATCGATAAGTCTATTCCTGAAAGCAAAGGTCAGCATGAAAATATACATATGAAGCTATCTTTAAAATATCTGAGGATGGCTACGTTTTGTCTTACCTACTTATGGGAATTATTTTAAGCTCCTCTTGCACCCCCAAAAATGCAAGACGACCAACAGATAACTTTGTGTTTGCATGGAAAAGACAGCACAAGCTTTAACAAGCTTCAATACTGCTCAGTTTATGAATGTTTAAAATGTCCTGTTCAGTTTTACACGGGGAATAAAAAAAAAAGAGGAAGACAGAAATATATTGTGCACAGTAAAAGCCCTTTAATACAGATGGGCACATTAATGCAGAATGAGGCAGCTGAACTAGCGCTACAAAGGCAGTGCATCTGCATTCTCCTTCCAGAGCCGCCGGCCTTTCACGAGAAACGGCCTCAGACGAAGCCACCGCGTGTATTTGTGATTTAGCAACTAAATATTTTTTCGTGGACAGCAATTATATATCTGAACGCAGCTCATTTATAACGGACTGGTAACGCAGGATGAGTCTCCGCCGCAGTGGTAACAACCAGACGACAACGTTCCTGCAGAGCTTCCAACGCCCTTGAAACTAAAGGATGCGTCTCCCTCTTTTCTGGACGTGGCAATTGCTCCTTTAGGGGGATCTCGGTGGCACTGCAAAGAGGGAAGTCACTGCTGCATCATCGAGATGCTCGCCAGCATCCTGGCTAAGAGCAAAGCAGCAGGCAGGACCACTTTGCATCTCCCATGTCCTGCTTAGATTTAAATCTCCCATGTTTACTTAACCTGTTTCACCAGGGCTACCTGAAAAGGAAAACTCAATCTAGAGCAAAAACTTGCTTCTTTTCTCCATAAGTCCATTCCTGGCAGAGTGGCGGCCACTGCTATTTCCTAATGGGACCAAGTTCCTGACCCTCCAAACAGGACTGCAGCTTGGCTGCTTATGCTGCCCAGGGGATTTGCAAGGCACAGGAAGGGGAGACCAGCCAGGAACAAACGGCTCCAGCAATAAGACAGTGCCGCACAGCGAAGCAACCCATTGGTGAAAAGCTGCTTGCATCGATGGGAATAACCACCTTCAGCTGCTTTGCATACAGTGCCAGGCTGAAGAAGCCGGAGTGGCAAAAATCCTGTGGAAACCCAATGCCAACGAGGCATGGAAATCCCTAGGCTGTTTTGATTCACTGGCAAATCAATACAGAGACACGTTCAAATAAGAAAACACGAGTTGTTTTGGCTTTGGAGCCAACATGAGGTATAAGAAACCATCATGAGCTGATTCTCATGATGGTTTCTCATATTCTCCAGTTGCATGTGCAGCTTTCTGCTTACCTTTCACCACACTGAACGTACCCTGAAGTTTCAGAAATACCCAAGCAGATGTTTTTCCTCAACGTAGCTACATGAAAATGGCTATTTGTTACAAATCACTTTTAACTCCTAGAAGCTGCAGTGTTGGGATTGGGTGTTGCACGCCGTGGACACGAGCAGAAGCGACTAGGCCAAGGCTGGCAGGGGGCTTTCTGTACCTGCAGGTTTAACAGAACGGCCCCGATCCGCATGGCCTCGCTCACTTCCAGGCTGTACATCAGCTGGGGAAAACGGGGAGGGCTCTGGTTATTGGGTGGAAGGACCTCGATGTAAACCGTGGTGATGGAGCTCCTGCAACGAGGAAAAAAAACAAAGCTGTCAAAAATCAGCAGGCTGCATGGCAAGGCAAACAGCAGCATCTGCTTTATTTACTATATTTACTTTACGACCATAGGTTCTCCAGGTCTGCCAAACTCCCTTGGCTCCCTTAAGAAACTCCAGCACATAGTTTTTGCTCTGCACCAAAAATAAATCAGGCTGCCACACTCACAGAGCAAGAAGCTAAACAATTTTATTTAATTCTTTTTCTTTTTAATGTAAAGTAGTCCATGTGTTCTTTAAAAACAACAAAAAACAACTGGAGCATGTTTTGGGTCTCCTCCTGCGCGACTGCGTCTTCTGGACATCAGACCGGGGATGCCAATTCATGCTGCCAAGCAGAGCATCGACCCCAGGAGGATCCCACTGCGCCGTACATTTTTGCTCCGTTTTTTGGGGAGAGAGAGATCAAAAAATGCTGATGAAGAGGACAACGCTGGAGAACGCCCACGTTGCCCAAAAGCAGATGTGGAGTCTCCTTCTTTGGAGATATTCAAAACCCACCGGGACATGATCCTGTGCCACATGCTCTAGGTGAGCCTGCTGGAGCAGGGGGGATGGATGAGATGGTCTCCAAAGGTCCCTTCCCACTGCAACCATTCTTCAATGACCGATGAGCCCGAGTCTGTCATGGGCTGCATTGACACTGCTTTTGCCTTAGCCATGTCTAAGTGTGCTTCACACGAGTCTCGGAGACATGGGAAGCTGGAGAAGCCACCAAGCTGCAAAAGCCACCCCAAAACCCTCCAGCTGCACTGAGCCACCAGCTCAGGGAGACCACAGAAGGAGCCCAAGTTTGCAAGGCTGAAGCTCTGCTGGGACCATTCACGCCCATGGCAAACCCTGCAAAGACCACACTGGCCTCGAGCTTTAGGCATGACAGAAGGGAACTGCTTCGGAAGAAATGGAGATGTCCCAAAATGTCAGGAGGCAAAACACAGGTGCATGGGGAAACACACCCAGGAGGATTTCAACACCATTTGTTGGCTTGTCATTTTGTGCCCACCACATGCCCAGCCTGGGTGACCCTGCAGGTCTGGAACCCGTGCAGAGGTCTCCAGCTCAGTCATCAGCCTAGTCCTGGTCCTTGCTGCACCACAGCAAGCACCCAGCTTGATTTCCTTGATTTCTGCCTTGCAAAGGGACAACAGGTAAAGCAGGAAGCTCTTTTCTCCTATGCTGCTTGTCCAACACGAGATCCTGACCCCCCAGAGAGCACACTGAGGGCTGCTCCCGTTCAGAGCTATACGAACAGGAGCGAGCCATCCTATTTGAGCACGTGAGCCCACGTACCTTCTCTGCGCAGGGGGAGCGCGGTCGGACGCCTTCACGGTGAGCGCGTAGGAGCGGCCCACGGACAGCACGACCCCCGGAGCAATGGTGATGAGGCCGCTCCGGGCGTCGATGACAAAGTCTCCCTGGTCCCCGGCCAAAATTTCGTACACGATGTGTCCGTTGGGTCCCTCGTCCGCGTCCACGGCAGTGAGCTGCAATTGAGGACCGCGGCGTCAGCACGCACAGGCCCTGCTGCAGGTTTCATTGCTCGCAGCAAGGAAAGGGGGAGGGAAAGGTGGGGGAAAATCACAGAGCTTCTATATGGGGGACCCAGCATTTTAACGTGGAGGAGATACCTGGTCCATAGTGTTCTCCACCTGCTAGTTCTTTGTCACAGAGGCTTCACTCCAACCACCAAAACCGACTGCTATTGCCCTTGGATGAGCAAAACTTCTTCATGCATTTCTGAGGGGGACACTAGTACGTCGATCGCAAATTAAACACACGAAACCCTCCAAAACCATGAAACACTGAAAAGAGAGACCAACTCCTCTTCGACACTTAGAAATTGAATATATCTAAAGCTCTAAGTTCCCTTAAGCTACCGCTCAATACCTTCTGCGTTCCTCACCAGGAGGAGCCACCTACCCATGTGACATCCCCGAGCAAAAGTGCTGCAACAACCTGCGCCGCCAAACATCAAAAGCATCGCCCACAAAAAAGAGATAAATAAGGGCTTTATATCCTAAACACTTAATTACAGGATCAGGATCGGGGCCAGCTTTCACTGGGATGACACAGAAAGGGAAATTAATTCAATACCCAAGCGCATAAATTAATACGGTTAATTAAACTTACAAATATTGAATGCTCGTAAAACATTTTGAGGGTAAAAAAAAAAAAAAGAATAAAATATTGAATTCAAGTTTGCATGCTGCCATAATCTATGATCTTAGAAATTGGCTCTCCATCTGTTCCCAGCCGACAGAGTTTCAGAGTTAACCAGATTTTAGAAATATGTTTTGTGTTAAAATACACCACAGGCCAGCAAGGCTCCAGTCCAATTTAGGCTAAAAAGGTGCAATATGAGCATTGCTTTAGCTACTTCATTGAATCTTGGGTGGATCATTGTGTTTACTGAGAAACGCAAAGGCAGCCTGCTCTTATTTCCATTTCCTCTAATACCACGTATTTAGCAGCTGGGATTTGGTGTGGCGATGGACCACAGAGCAGCAGCTGCAAATAACCATGTGAATAAATCCTTAGAAGAGGGTTTGGACATCACTTGAACAAAAGATTTCATCTAAATTTTTGCTGTTTGCGGGCAAGACGTACACAGAAAGCTGGAAACGACGAACGTAGAAGCAACAGAAAATGTCATCAAAGTCACGTTTCCTCTTTTCTTCTTCTTCTGGCCTTTGGCACAAGGGCCATTTATGCCAAATCTGTGAAACTAAGTGCTCCAACAGCACCTCCAAACTAAATTGTTTGTGGGACTCAAGGCCAAACTATTTTGGCGCTCACAAGCTGAGCAGACAATGTGCTAATTCACCCCATAACCTCTTATATATGCCATAGCTTATTACCTATATATACTGTATCTTATTAGTATAGATAAATTAAAATGGATTATTTTTCGTTCCAGAGTTTTAATACAGAAGCTCTAGGGGGAAAAAATAACATAATTCATGAAGGTGGCTCAGAAATATTTCTATAAACAGAATGTACAAATATATATATATATATTATGTAAATACATATACACACAATAAAAATTATCTCTATATCCTTTGCATTCTTCCCAAGCAAGTCTGTGTCTTGCTTAATATTTTGGGTCCTGCCTGCTATATAATTCCTATAAGAAATAAAAGGTGTCTAAAGCAAAAAAATGTAATAGTGGGAATTGAAATGACCTCTTTGAATGATACTATTGCACTATAGCTACATACTCCACTTGAATAAAATACCTGTAAAGGCAGGAAATTCCCAAGCTGAAGAGGATGATGATCATCCTGATCACCTCAACCCGAGTAGACACTTAAGGGTAAGCCAGCACCCGCATGTAAAATATGGTCAGGTTACACAGATTCACTGAGGTCTCTGTTCTTTTTCTAACCTACTTTTTGTGTTAAAAGAGAGTGTTTTTTTTTTTTTTTCTAACAAGCTGATCTTAACTGCCCTGCTCTAATATTTCATTTGAACTGGCTCCCGATTTAACAGGCAAGAAAATGGCACCGTGACGGTTCAGGCCCAGTCAGAAGGCAAAAATTAAAATCACCTTTATGACGCCTTCTCCGGGCCCCATGTCCGTGTAAATCTTGACGCTGTACGAGATGTTGGAGAAGGTGGGGGAATTGTCGTTGGCATCTATCACGACGATGTTGACGGTCACCGGGGCGCTCTCCTGCACGCCGTCGGACGCCGTCATCTGCAGCCAAGGCAAGCGCGAGGGGAACAGTCGCAACCAGACAGCCCTCGTTGCCAACCTTCCCATCACAACTGTGAGCAGATATGACTAAAAAGTCGGTTTACTCATTCTTTCTGGTTTAAGCTGGCTGGTAAATTCCATTCCCAAAAGGGTGCAGTGAATTCAAAATATTAACCGCTAAATAATGGGTGTGCAATCATATATTGTAAGCAGCTGCTCTTAAGTGAACAAAGTGCATTTGATAAAATAGAATTGCAAATAATTGCAAAAATAGTAATTGTGTGCAACTGTTTTGCCTGTTAATTTTGCGTTTCATAGCAACTATTCCCTTGTAAAAAGGGACAACAAGGATAGAACGCTGCAGTAGCGCCCAAGCCTGCAGCAGGCCACACGTGGCGCACAAGCCACGTGATGTTCCTCGTCCTTCCTTCCTCCTCCTCATCCTCTGGGCCATTTTAACAAGCTGCAAGGCTGCTGGGTTGAGGACCTGCCTGTGCTTAGTGTGAGCAAAGCTCCAGGTGCCTCCGCGAGTGCTTCTCGCTTACCGAAAACGTGTAGAGCTGCTGGGCTTCCCTGTCCACGGGCTGCAGCAGGGTGAGGTAGCGGGTGATGCCCGTCTGAGTCACAGTGAAAAACGCCGTGTAGTCGTTGAGAAAGAGCTGGAGCTGAGGGTCCTTCGTCTTTGAAAGGCCACAAAGGAGAATATTTAATTGTAAAACCAATTCTTTTTAAAATAACATATATACGTGCCTTTTTTCATTCTGTTACAAAATCAATGCAAGTTTTTGTTTTAGCTGGAAACTAAATGAGCAGAAAGTGCAATACAGTGATACAGCCTAGAGAGGAATAAAATAAAACGGAAAAAAAACCCACCACCTTATTTCTTGGAGGAAAAAGAGGTATCCAAATACTCTTTACAGGTTAAGGAAACCCAAAGAGCAAGTAAACACCCACATCTGCCAGGCTGACCGGCTGCTTTTTTATTTTCTTTAAAAAGATGCTCTTTAGCCAAGGGTTGTTTATCAGTAAAAAGGAAACATATTCAAGCCTTTGTCCTAAAGCACACTAAAAACAATACTAAAAAAGGGAAACAATCTTGACTAATGCTGCAATAAAACAGTTGAGTGGCTGCAACGAAGCTCTCAGCACATGTTGTGGCACGCGGCTTTAAAATAAAAATCACTCTTGAGAGATTATGCTCATGCCCGTGTTAAAAATAAATAAATAAATAAATAAATCACAGCATGTTGATGCAACACTTTCAATTTCTTAGCTGATCAGATCAAAATGAAAGCTAAAATAAGGCTTTTGTATAGCTTTCAATAGGAAGTAACGTAAGGAAGACATATTATTATTTCATTCTTCCATAGGTGACAACAGGGCAAAAAGAGCCTTAACCAAACCCAATTAAGAGAGAAGAGAAACAAACACGCTAGCAGTATAAATAAAAAATAGCAGAAAATAACAGTGGACACACAAAACATAACCTGAAAAAAGAGTTTTCATGCTGGTATTTCCACCGTAATTCCATGCAAGTCCCCCCCATGCACACAGCGAGGCACACAGCACAGCTAGAGCCAAATCTAACCAGCCTTCCAAAAAACAGCTTCATGTTAGTCTGCTGGGGCCTTTTTCTGAAACGGTACCCAGAATTTGGTAGCAGCTTAGAGCTTGCATTCCCGTATTCCTGCCCCTGCTTGGCGAGCCGCGGTAACGTGGCACGCATCCAGCCTGCATCCGATGAGGCACAGGCAGCGGCGAGGAGGGATCGGGACAAGGGAAAGACAAAGCCAAATTTACCCTAGCAAACCCAAACACCCTAAAAGAGCCACATTTTGGCAGCCTAGGTTTGTGCGGCTGGAATGATAAACCCTTTCGGTTGCTGAAAGCTACGTGGAAGCAACGGCCAAGTGCTCCGAGCACGCGGCTTCCTCCTGCCAGCACGATTAAAATGCACTTTACATCCAGCAATGCAAAAGGTAATCGCTTTTGCCCATGGAAAACTAGGGCTGGCGACCGCCAATAACGTTTTTTTTTTTTGTAGACACTGCAGAGTCAGCCAAATCTTCTCATTTGCAAAAGGCCAGTTTGGGCCCACTGCGCTATTCTGAACACAAATAAATTGTGTTAACCTGGAGAGAAGGCAACCGTGGAAACGACCCAGCATTGCTGCCATCACTATTGAGGTTTTCCTTTTATTACTATTATTTTTAACTATTTTAAATGGTCCTGGACTTGGACATAAAAATAAATAAATAATAAAATAAAATAAACAAAAATCATACTGCAAACACAACACCCAATACCTACGGGAATGGCACCTGGAGCGAGCTACAAAGCAAAAATGCATGATGGAAAATGAATGTGAGCAAAGAAACACAAAGCTGCTGCTGATGCATATTATAAAGGCAATACATTTGGATAACACAAACAAACAGCTCCCACTATTAGAAACAGAAATGCAATAACTGAGAAGCTGAAGGAAAAATTGGGCGAGGGAACACAGTTCAAGAAGGTATTGTGCCAGGCTCACTAGGAGGAGTTCATCCTCCTTAAGACCTTTTATTTAAAGAGAACTTTTTAAAATAATAATATTTATTTTGCATATTTCAGTAATATTTAGCTATTTAGTTAATGCTAATAACAAAAGGAAGAATAAAGGCACAAATGCAACTAGAAAGAAAAGCTTTTCAGATTTTTCAGATTTTTTTTTCAATATATATATATTTTTTTAACTTTTTAAGCAAGAATGAATCCTGATCGGAATACTGTAACGTGACTACTAGAGTGCTGATCACACCTGAATGCTTCATCAACTTGTATATGTATTTTATATTTATATATTTTAATGTATATACATATTTCAAACAGCAGCCAGTTGAAGATCTGTTTGCAGTGTTGCTGCTATGAATTCATTTTTTCCAAGGCCATGTTGTAACTCTCCCAAGGTTTAAATCCAGAATGTGAGGGCCTTTTTTTTTTTTTTCTCTCTTTTTAAAGCATACACAGTGCAGAAGGCCGCGTTTTAGAAGGCTCCCGTATCCTAAATGCCACCAAATCATGGTGATAACATATGGGACACTGAGCGAGGAGATCTTCTGGCTTCAGTGCAATTTCCCAGTTGAGAAAAGTGTGGGGTTTTTTTACGATGCAAGATTTCTTCCTTTAAGACCCTGAGTGTACTGCAAAACCTATATCAAATTAGCCTTTGCTTTATTATATTTACAAATATTCTAGTGGGCCATTTTTTAAAAGAAGTAAGAGGTTGGGCCCAGTCCACCACAAAGTGGTATCAGGTAACCAATATTTGGCTTTGCAGTGTGGAAACCTTCTCAAATGATTTCGAGTGGCAAAATGTGCCAACCCCAGACAACAAAGTGGTTTCTTCTCCAGACCAGCATCCCTCAAATCCGCCCACCAAAAACCTGCTTTACACAGTTACTTTTTGTTTGTTTGTAGTTCTTTGCTAGTCAAAAAAACCCAGAACGTGAAGAAGTTTTAGTTTCCACTGGAAACAGAAAGCATTTTGGCTGGTTTTATGCCATAGGCTTGGAAACCTGTTCCCCACGGCCGCTGCGCTGAGGGAAGCGGCAGCGGCGCTTCCTGCCATTTCCTCTCCCAGGCCAAAACAAACCCCGTGGCAGTTCGGCACAGCACAAATGTGAAGCGTTGGATTTAATACCTTAAACATGGCGCCTTGTCAATAATAAACGAAAGCATTCAGGGGAATAATTCTGGCTGTACCTCAATTCTGGCCTGCGCGAGGGAAAAACTCACAGTCAACTCTGGTTCAAGAACAACGTATTTGTTTTTGTTGTCTTTGGACATAGATTATTTTCAAGCAAGGATTCTACAATGTCAGAAACGAAGTTTGGACAACCAGAAGGTGATTTCTGGTGTACCAGGTCAAGAGCTTTAATAAAAAACTGTCGTTGCACACTACAGGTATCACTACAAAACACAGGCCTACAGCATCCTTAGATGCCTGAAGACAACACGAGAACAGAAAAAGGATCAAGAACAGAGATGAGAAGGAAGAGAGAAGGGAGAAGCTGGGGAGATGACGGCACGCAGAAGGGAATGAAACCTCAAAGAAAAAAAAAGATGCAAGGAAACCTGAGGGAGAGAAGTTAGCCTTAGGGGCTTGGTGTACTACTCTTTTGAAGAAGTTCAGTTTTTACAACGAGGGATGTTAGTACAAAAATCTTGACAAGGAATGGATAGTTCTCTTGGCCTCCAGTTCTCCTATTCCTCTTCCTCCTGCTGCATCCATTTGACCTCTTCCTTCCCGTTTTCCCCATGCCCCACTGTAGATCCATCTTCCCCCCAGAATCTGGCTGTTTTTCCCTTCCTCCACCAAGCAAGGAAGCACAAACGCAGGCCTGCGCCTCAGACGGGGAGACACGCACCTCCTCTACGTCGTTGTCCAACACCACGATCCCCAGCGGCGAGGTCAGGTTGAGGTTCTCGGAGATGGTGGTGCCCACGGGGGAGGATTCGAGGATGAAGCCCTCGTACGTCGACCTCGTGAAGTAAGGCCTCTGGTTATTCTCGTCGAGGACTTCTATGTGTAAGCTGGCAAAGGCAGGGAGAGGATGGCCGTTGTCCTGCTCAGCCTGAGAAAGAGGAGGAGAAACCAATTCATTTAGTGCTGGCCTTCAGGTACTGCAAACAGTTACCGCTTGGCTTGGGTTTGCTTTTAAGAAGGACTATCCAATCACACACATAAAGAGTCTCCAGTCCTGGCCACCTGACCTTGAAACTTAGCATTGCGCAAGAAAGAAATATCAAAAATTAGCTAGGAAATAAGAAAAAAAAATAGAGAGAGCTGCAGCCACAATAACCTTGGCCACAACAAAGCTCTAAAGCTACGCAGCAAAAAAACCTGCCTTAGAGTATTGAGATCACAAGTTTTGACAACATCTCTTGTACACAAAAGGATAAAACAAACCGGGAAACTCCTCAGTATACAATGTAAAACCACCTACGTCGATACCGCCTCAAGCCAAAGACCACAGCAGTTATAGGCAGATGGTTCTTGCTGCACGTTACTGGGACAGCGTATTTTACTGGATACGGTACTACCATTTTTTTCTTTTTGTCCAAAACATGCATTTTTCTAATGTTAGACAAGTGGAATTTTAACTTTATTTTGCCCACTTCCAGACTACAAGGGAAACTCTTGATTTCCATTAATAGCCCTCACTTTGCAGGACCTCATCCTACCAAGCTCTGCCTGTTCATACAATATCATCTCATCTCTTCTTTACAAACCTCTGATGCATAAAAAAAACAATCGAGAGAGTCAGTGTAACTGACATCAGTGTATGCTGATGTGCCACAAATCAAAGGTTTTGTTTTTTCCTTCCTTTTTTTAAATGATTGCTTAAATTAAAAGAAAACAAGGAAAAAACGACTATTTTTTTTGACTCTCAAGCATTAGGGTCAGATCCAACAAGGGGAAGAGCCTCACTACAGAAATTGCAGGAGGCTAATTTTGTTCCAGAGTTCAAACCCAGCATGTCAGGAAAAGGGCTGCAGGAGATACCGTGTCCACTTCTGGCTCTTCTTGAGTGCTTCTAGGATTCAAGCTACGACCATGGTGATCAAACCCATACCGGCTTCTAGAAGCTACTAAATTACCATATTAATTAAGAGTATTTAAGAATTTAACATTTTTTTCCTGCTATTTTCCTGCTAAAAGGGCCTCGGTAGGACCTGAAGCATTGGGCCACCAAAACAGACCCATGCTTCTAGGTGGCCCCAGCCACTTCTGAAGAGGGAGGCCCACGTTAGTTGAAACCATCTGCCTCCATCCTGTTCACTGCAAACTGTTTTATTAGCAATTGGTTGGCAATTTTTTCATTTCACAAAATTTCATTAAACAGAGAAGCACTCAACCATCCCCAAGCAAATCCTATTCCTGTAGAAGTTAACTGCAAAACATTTTAAAATCAAGAGCATAGTAGCTAGTGTTGGCACTGGAGACCAGGTACGTGATTCCTAAAGCTGAGCATACCCTATAACTGACAGACTCAAGATTTATTTTCTTTTTTTCTTTCTTTTTTAAATCTGAAATCTGCTTTCCTTCACAGAGCACCAGCAATTTCACAAGGAAAAGTCATCAACACTTCTTGAAGGGGCTCTAGCTATTGATCCACAGACCTTGAAATACATCTTGATACGGACACTTTGAGGCCAAAAATAATTAATGTACACATGGAAATAATTCCAACAGGAGTCGTCTCCCTTTGCAGTAGACATCTCAATCCAAAGCTTTACACAGTGTAAAGTCACTAGCACTGAGCAAAGCCTTTTGCTTTTCTATAACCTGGAATGTTTCTGTGTGGTAAAAAGATAAGACACCAACTCTGTAAAGACAAATATCTGCTTTCTGATCCTCCCAATACATAGCCACACATTTGAAAGCCCAGCGCATATATTTGCAAGAGCAAATATATACAGACAAGGATTGGAAGACAAATATATGCTACTTTTGCAAAGATAGAGCTAAAATTTAGAGGAGAAAACAAACTTCCAGTTTTTTTTTGGTGGTTCTTCCAAAGTCATTTTGGCATAAGCCACAGGAACATGTGAATATTTTCATCTTAGGCTTTGCACCTTAACGGTGGGTCCAGCAAATCAAATGAAAAATTAAAGGACATACGAGCAAAACACTAGATATTTACTTTTCATCATCCTTTTTCACAGAAATCTTTTCTCAAAGCCACTTTTTATTTTCTGCAACACAAAGACTTCTTTTTTCTTTACAGAAATGTGAAAAATGGCCTTGCCCTCATATGCTATGCAAATATATTCACAGGAGCAACACAGGGAACAGTTTATGTGCCCTTGATCCATTCTGCTTATAATGCTCCAAAAATATATATATGACAGTCATAAATTGTACTTCTCTCTCCCTTTTTTTTGTGTTGTTTGTTTGCTTTTATGAGATGCACTCCTATAATGGACAATTTGTTGCAGACTTCCAGTGCTGGGAGGGAAAGTGGTGGTTTCCTTGAGCCTGTTAATGCTCTCAGCAGAGTATCTCTGCTTCCTGAGACACTTATTCGTGAACAATTTAAGCTTCTTTCAGACAAAAAGCCACTGATATTTAAAATAGTCTAATTTATCTACTTATTCTTAAGCTGCTAATAATGGAAAACCCTCACGACTAGCTTAACTCAACCTTGCCGTTCCCAAGATCAACGGAAATGGTGACCACTGGACTTGGGTAGAAGACCTGAGTTCTTCTCGAGATGAATGCACTTTACTGCCAACCTCCAAACCTGCAACCAAAGGTTGTCAATAGTTTACAGACTTGAACCACCCACTATGGTTCTTCAGCTTCATTACAGTTTGCTCTCTCCTTGGACGAGGCTGCTTCATACAGAGAAAAATGAAGACACTCAGTCACGAGGAAGCTTCAAAAGGAAAAAAAGCAAAAGGCAAATGCACATTGAAGACTTCTTCACAGCAATTGAAGACTTCTTCACAGTGACACCTCCCAAGAGGAAAGTCACCCCTATAAACCCAGCAGGTCCCTTCACGATGCACGCCAGGATTCTTTAAACCGAGATTCCATCAAACGAAGAGCTTTATAACCTCAGGGTTAACAAACACTCTATATACATACACATCCATGTACATATGCACATTTTTCCTCTGTTTGCTAAGGGAATTCGTATCATGCACCTGCCATGTCTGAAAAATCAAATATCACTTTGTTAATCCCAACGGAAAATGACGTGTTCCCATCGCCACCATGCTGAAAAGCCTGAAAATACCATCTAAAATAATAACACACCCGACAGCAGACCACCCGAACCAAAGAAAAGACAGGAATGAAGGCAGGGTGTCACCATCCCACATAAAACTGGGCTAACAGTGTCCGAAATAAGAGCAAATGCCAAAATAAATGGATTCCTGTGCATGGAGTGAGGCTTGCCAAACACAGTATTTTTGGCACACTGAAAGGGTGCAGGACCAGGAATTTGCAGCCAGCCATTTCAGATCTTCAAGACAAGAACAAGGTCCAGGAGCTTCAGGCCCTCAAACTTGGCTACAGATGTGATGGACACGGAAATATTATATAGGTTTTACATTCAATCCATTAAAAAAGAGAAAAGGTTGAAGCACAGATGCAGAAAAGGACGGTCAGGTCTGATGAAGCTGTTCCCTTTCTTTTTTGAGTTCATGACCCTAATGGGAGATGAAGGCAAAAGCTAGGTTATAATTTATTCAGATTTAGCAAAAGTGCTAGGGTTGTAAAAAAAAAAAATATCATCAATTAGATTAATTTACAAGGTCAGAAAGTACAGGATAGAGAAAAAAAATGATGGAAATGGATTAAAAATTGGCTTAAGGACAAGCAGTAGAGAGTATCTTTAGACATGGAAGAAATTTGACTTTACGGTCAGTGAAGCTTGTGATGTGGCACTGAAATGGTACTGGCACATAATGTGTCTAGACAGTAGGCTAAAAAAAAAAAAAAAAAATCCCAAATATCTATTTTTCCTTCATGTGTCAAGGGCAAGTGACTCCGGTACCACTGAGGCTCATGACGCTGCAGAGCAGTGAACAGTGATCCTCATGGCTGCTCACCTTTCCAAAGCATCAAAGTCACCTTTCTTTGGCCTTTCAATTAAGGAAAAAGCCAACTCTGAAGTTATATCAAGTCCCAAGTGATGAACAAGATCAAGAAAGCCCTTTTTTTTTTTTTTTAACTGCAGAAAGGAAATGCAGATATTTCAGTAACTGTAAGTAGTTCTGGATCCATCTATCATGGTAATCGAGGGATTTAAATCTTTCTGTAGCTCTATGACTAATAACACAATTTAGGGCCAGTCTTAGCTGAGTTTTATTTCATGTATAGCTGTTATTTCATGTTTTAAGTGCAAGGAAAACAGTTTGTCATTCTGAGATGCTGTCAGACACAGGGGGAAAAAATGGTATTTTCAATAGGTATACGGTAGCTTTGGAGAAAAAAACCCTTTTCAATGATATGAAAAAAAAATTGATCGAGGTTTTAGAAAGTTTTTAAAACAGTGTCTTCCTGCATCCTTTTGCCCTTGTTTTCTTATTCTGTTTCCCATGATGGCCCTTAACGTCTCGACTTGCGCCAGGACATCAGGAGAGGCCAAAAGAGAAAAAATGGAAGAACATCCAGAAAAACAGCAGTGTATTTTTAGAAAAGCCTTGTCACGTGGGCTGCATTTTATCCCTTTGAACTTGGAGTAACAAGGAAAAAAATCCACAATATCTAGAAAAAACAGGCATTTCACCATAGCGGTTACTTCCCACAGACCTAGTCCACGGACCTGGCTGTGAAGTTTTCCTCCAGTTCTCAACGCTGCAGTCTGCGCTCACAGCTCACAGTGATAAATGCCTCAATATTTGCATTATGTACTCCAGCTATAACGTATTTGTCACACTGATTAAACCCAAGCAAAGGAGACATTGCTCTTCCTGCTCAAATCCCTACTTGCAAGCACTGAAGAACGGAGAAGATGGAAGAACAGACAAAAATCCCCTTTAGGGCAGGAAAAGGTATTCTCTGAAATGCTGGAGGACGGAGGAAACTTAGAGCTAACCCGAGTGAAGGTGACAAATAAAGCGCCAGAAAAAGCACGAAAGGACTTGGAGATTACCTGCATGTCAGACATTTCCTGGAATAGCAGTATTCTGGATTGCTCCAGGGAAGACCAATGAACTTCTCTACCTGGAAGGTGCCCAGCTCCCCTTATCCCCAGCGTCACCTTTCAGCACCTCCATGAGTGCCCACCAAGGCATCCCACAGAGAAACTACAGGAGATGAAGAACCACCTTCCCTCGCACTGGTGAAAATCCTGCGTGGCGCCAAGGCTGCCGGCTTGACCCTACTGGGACAGCTGGGAACATCTGTCCTGATCCTCAGCAGCTTCCATCCGACGGGACGAGCGGCTGGCTGCTTCTCAGGGCGCACAACGTCAGGCTCATCTCAAATTATCCAACCCTACTTTGGCCAGTTGCATCCTACCTCCTTGGAAAGGAATTGAAAGTTGAATCCCATTCCAGGTGGTGAGCCTGCAGGAGATGGCAATATTTTTGAGAAAAGTATTTCATAACTGCAGGAAAAATTTCTTAACAGTGAGGGTGACAGAGTGCTGGAACAGGCTGCCCAGAGAGGTTGTGGAGTCTCCTTCTCTTCAGATCTTCCAAATCCGTTTGGACGCAGTCCTGTGCCACGTGCTCTAGGTGACCCTGCGTGTGCAGGGGGTTGGACTAGATGATCTCTAGAGGTCCCTTCCAACCCTAAGGATTCTGTGATTCTGTGATTACTGAAAGTATCTGGCGCTTTCTGCTGGTTGCAGGAGGCTTCTACTGCCAACAGGGCTGAGAAGCCACCACAAACCCCGAGTGACCATGACACAAAGCAATTCTCTCCTGCAAGGAGCTTTTCCACGAGAGCTGTGAACATCTCAGAGGCATGGAAAAATCTTCTTAACTCTATAGATCATACCAAAACATACTTTAAAACTATGTAATTAACAGGAATCTCCCAGCATATGTGCCTATCAAAGACAAATATATATAACAACACAAAAAGAATGCTATAATGTTCCCTTTTTTTTTTTTTTTTGATTTTTTTCCCCAACTTTTTTTTCCCATCTCAGGTTCCAATATGCAGCAGGGTCTCTTTTTAATCAGTAGTACAAGGTTAATGCTTGCAAGAGAAAGAAGATTCCTACTGCGATTCTGTCCTTTTAAATCCAAGGAGCACCCAATTTCCTCACGGTGCAGAAATTTGGGAGCACTGCTTTTCCTAGGTAAATAATACAGAGTAGAGATACATCACCATAAAGTAAAAAGAAAATGCTGTATTTCTACAGCCTCAAAATACATACGAAACCTTTTTTTCCCTCTGTTAAAACTCCTCCAGCTTCTGCAGCAATACCAAATGCACAACCCCCTTGATCCTTCCCTACTTATTGGGCACCAACCTGCTGCAATATTTACGTGTGGGACAACCAGTGGTGACTTCCAGCATCTCTTACGAGGCTGCTGTACAGCAGCTACTAAGAAAACAGATGTTAACTCTATTAGATATATAGATGTTGGATGTTTATTCTCTATTAATCCTCTAGTAAGAGGTAAAACATCCTCCACTACAAACCTGACTCTGCATTAAGGTCAGTGTCTTCAAGTAGGACCTTTTGGGGTTTTAACAGAGACGCAACAAATGGATTTTTGTAGAGCTGCCAGGTATTTATCATCTGATAAATAACTGATGCTCTAATAAAAAAGGATCCAAGTGCATCAATTAGATCAGCTTTTTCCCTATTTTTTTCCCATGATGCACATGCTTCAGAAAGAAATCCAAAGCTCCCTGACACGTTTTAGAGCTGGGAACAGAATGCAGTCTCCACTCTACAGAATAACGTTTTTTTTTGCAAAAAGACAAGCAAGGCCCTGACTTCTCTCCATTGGCTACATGGCTGGAAATGGAAAGAATCCCCGGACTTTGGGAAAGGCCCCTGTGGTTGGAAAGGGAAGCGAGGGGCTTCCCTGGGGAGGCGGAGGGTGCTGCTGCACTTCAAAGCTCAAAGCTCCCTTTCTTCCAAAGCAAACGATTAAAAATACATAGTTTTTCATCAAAGGTCTTCTAGAGTCCACAGGGAGGCCAAAAGGCAGCTTTTCTTATTTAAAAGTTTTGCTTTTTCGATTGTCTTCCTGCCCGAGAATTAAACATTTATCAGAAATGCAGGTTTTCAAGCCACAGACGGCTGCACCAGCCTTGTGCTCATCATCCTGTATTGACTCATCCCCCTCTTTCCATTTCACTTTTTTTTCAAATTATTTTGACAGTAGGGAAGAAAAAAAAATAAATCGATCAACTTGATCACCTGATATCAGAGAGAATATTTTAAAGATTAAATTTAGGGACTTCTGTAGAAGGAGCCTATTTGCTGTTTGAAGAGGAACATCACTCACTCCAGCCTTCCAGAGAAAACGGATTCGGATTCAACGACTTCGGCGCTGCCCGAAAATGCAAACTTTGAAAGACGTAACAAATGTTCAAAGTTGTTTCCTGGTACAAATTGAGGTGTTTTACCAGTTCGAACGGCCCCTGGACGACACAGCATTAAAACATTTTATCATTCATGCAGGAGAAACTGCTCCCTCTTCTGCAAAGCTCAGAGTGAGCTTGGAAATCTCAGCCCCTTGCTCTCCTGTGCTTGATAAATGCTGGAAACTTCCCAAGGATTGATGCAAACTATATCCTGGGAGTCACGGCGGATGTGCTGGGGACCACATGGCGGCTTTGTAAAATTCAAAGCCGCTCTCAGATGATTGAATGAAACACTTTGGGCTTCCAGGCTGAAGGAACCGGGATTATTTTTAATCGGATGATTTCTGAGAGACCATGGCAGCCCTCTTGATGCCCAAGCATAGAGCTTCAGGCAAGCCCTAAGCCTTTGCCAGCTCTATAGACAGGACAGACTGCAGGAGCCTAGAAGAATAGCTTCCAGGTTTATAGTAGGGTGTGATGATAGAAGCATTAATATGTATAAATAAAACAGATCCATGGAAAGTACACTGCAGCTAGGAGTATCCATGTTTTGGTCTGTTTAAAACATGCTGGGAAACACACAAGAGATTCACTCCTTTGGTCTCCTGCATTGCTTACTCTCTTCCTTGCTCCTCTGCCTACCGATAAATCCCTCAAACCCCACAATTTTTGGAGGCACTAGGTAACAGCTATAGGGACAACTCCAGACAGACATTGGTGCTGAAACGAGTTTTGCAGTCCCTTCTCGCAACTTCCACCTGCAGCAAACCTTCCCCCTTCAAACAATTTGACTCCAATGAACCAAAAGCTTTCCAGATTTAACATGTTTAGTAATTAAATGTGGAAATTATCACCTATTCTTAACCCTCAAATTGGCAAAGAACGTTGTGCATGCTGGAGTTATTTCAGTCTGCAAACACGGGACCCCCAGCCACACGAAGACATATATGAAATCTGAAGACACATACAAAGAAAGATAATGAAATATAAAACAAGTGCTTTATCACGGCAACCGAGTTAAAAAAACAAATGCATGAGCAGTATGTACAGTTTGTCCTTTTGTTTTTAATATGCATATTAATATGTGCTGTATTATATTTGTTGCTGATATGCAACAAATCAATCATGATTCACTCCGTTTTCAGAAAGGCTTCAACACCCTTCCCCCCACAGCTTTGTTTTTCCGTTAGTTGATACTTAGTAGTTAAGCAAACAAATAAACAAACCCCGAATGGGCTCATCCCACACTTGCTCCAGAGATTTTTCCGAAGTCCATGGAAATGAGAAGTCAGTCAGTGTTACCTTAATAACCAAGTCGAACTTCTGGTGCAGGTCCCTGTTGATGGGCTTCAGGAGCGTGAGCACGGCCGTGGTGAGGTTCATGTGGAAGTACTGGGGATAGTCTTCAGGGGTACCTGCAAGACAGCAGCGAGGTGTGACAAATGCTTGTTCGCAGTTTTAGGTCAGCAGTCTATTCATTTCACTCATTAGTCAACACAAACCCAACCCTATTCCCAGGAGGATAAGATATTACACAACGTGTACAGGTAACTTGGTAATATTACAAGTCTTCTGTGCTTCCTATCATGGTTATTACCTTGCTTCCTCTACGCACCGAGAGCCTCCCCAACCGGGTAGTCCGTGCAGTTTGTGACAACAGAAGCCTGAGCACCCTGGGCAACGCTTCCGATTCCACCTCTTGGCTTCCAGGGGCTGCACGTGCCAAGCAAGAACTGACCTTCTGCTTCTCTTCCCATTCAGCAAACCTTACTTCCTCAACTGGCTTCCAGGGGCTGCACGTGCCAAGCTAAGAGGACACTTCAAGAACTGACCTTCTGCTTCTCTTCTCCCCATTCAGCAAACCTTACTTCCTCAATGTGTACGTCATCCTAGAAGCCTCCAAGAAGCTTCTCAGCAGGGAGGAGGCTTCAGGTGAGACCTGGTAGCTGTCTGGCAGCTTCTGTGCATTGTCAGCAGGTAACGGGGCCTTCACAGCACTGTGTTTGCAGGAGACTCCCCAGGAGAGTTAAAAAGAAGAAGCGACCGGTGCCTGAGGCCGTGTGCGACTCCACCATGGAGACCGAGGAGCGTCATGCGAGGATGGGGGTGGTAGAGTCCATGCTGCGCCCGCGAGCCGCTTTTCCTGGAAACGCTGCAGTGGTTGCTCATCTTGCAAGGTTGGGAATTGCTCCCGGAAAGCAGGCAGCTCTCCTCACCTCACCCCAACTCCTGTGCAGCAACTAACACTGGTGGCAATTACTACCACAAGCTGCACTGTGTATCTACACATCTATATATATATATATATGTGAATTTTTAGTGACTATGTCTGAACATGGAGCTGCCATACACCCAGACAGCAGTTAGCAGGGAGAAATCCCTACGGAGTCATTTTTCTATTATAAAACCTACAGAAACGTGGAGCCTGTAGTCACCAAGTGATGATGAGAAGTGAGCAGAAGAACCAAATTAAAACTCAGCCAAAGGAAAGAGACTTCAAAAATCAATCCCTCATTCAGCTAAGGAGCTTATTCTTGTATAGTTTAGACCTTCCAGTATTAAAAAGACAGACATACCTGAAGGCATAAGGAAGAGGTGCATGGAGAGCTGAAGTAAAGGGAAATCCCTATAGCAAGAAATATCTGCAAGGGCTATTTCCTGTGAGACTAATGAACATTATTCCATGATAAAGACTCTCATACCAACTGCATTGCAAGCTGGCAAAAACCGAGACAGGTTTCCTAAAAGGAAATCTTTGAAGGACCAGGGCTAAAACAGCCTTTCTAAGCAACGATCCAAAAAACTAATGTAAAATAGTAAAATAAAACTGCTCCTATAATAGATCTTTCTGAATTACTTCACCCCGCTCAAAACAATGGCGCAGACATTCAAAACCAAGACTAAGAAAATGAAAATCTTTACAAAGTTAACTCCTAATGGACATGGCAAATTACCCAGAGGACTTCAAGCAATGCTGTACTGGGGCGGGATGGAACATAACAAGAGCTGAATTTATAAACAAGCATCCAAGCTATTATTTTTCCCCGCTTGCGAACCTGTAATATCCAGGACCATCTTTCCTCACAATGAGCAGAACCTTGCATCATGGAGAAAAATAAAAACAGGCAAACAAACAAGGGGATGTGTGTGTCCAACCCGTGCCCCCTGTTCTGAATTCTCAATTCCCAGGCTGGCCACAGGACACAGCCTGTGCTCCTCCCTGTATTTGGGAAGAGCAGGGTGCAGGGAGGGCCTGCAGTGGAAAACCAACCCCTTGGACCTTTCTGCTCCCAAATGGCACAAGTGAAGCAAGTGAAAAAGAGAGGAAGGGAGTAGGGGGGAAACAAATAGCCCAGGATCAGGCACCTCCAGCAAAGCAGGTACCTTTGAACTCTGGCCACAGAGGAATGAGGCTCTGGGAAGAAACTGCCATCAGCAACAACAGAAACTGAGAAATCCAAGGGAAAACTTGCAAAATTAGAAGGTGGATGCAGCCAAAACCTTTCGACTGCTATATTCTAACCTGAATAAATAGTAATACATAATACACTGTTTCAAGTAAGCTTCAAAATTGCAATTCAGCTTAAAGAAGCAAGCAATGACTTCAAACATTCCCCTAACCACTGCATGAATATTTTTATTAGGTTCTTCTGCCCTCCCAGATAAGCTTTCTGTGGCTACTCCTAATAGAGTGAGTGAGAGCTAGATGATGAGACACCAACCTACTAGGATGGAGTAGAGGATGCCTGGTCGATCCGAAGGAGGCTGGATGTTTCGGTCCTGATCTATGGCTTGTATCGGTGGAATGACCTCGATGGGATTCACGTATGCCTGAAACAGCAGGGGGAAAAAAACAACAAGAATAAAAACCCGATTTTAAACCCAAATTAACAAAGCTGCTATATGTGCGTCTTGGGATCAAAAGCAAAAACATCCTCAGAAACTAAAGCAGTGGAAACAGCAGAGTATGTAGTGTGACAAAAATCAGGCCACAGCACAGAGATATTGGTCAAAACCACGGCCGTCTCGTACGCTCAGCGGGGGAAGCAAGAACCCACTGCCCGGAGCAGATGTTGCTCCGTAGCGGCATGGCAATTCCTCCCCCTTGCAAATCCACTGGAATTTATATACCTATTGGCAGCATTGAGCCCTCACCGCGGCTTTGGGCGCTTTCTGACGTTTCCAATTTCATTTACTTTGACCATTTAATGCAACAGAAACAGAGCTAGGGCATGGACGTGCCTTAATATTTTGCCCTCTTCCCCAAACAGCCATGGATTTCCCAGCTCCTTGTTGTTTTCCAGATTCCCTATCCACCTTCTCCAAGGCTTCTTGCTCTGGGTCTCTTCCCGCGGTTCCCAAGAGCCTGGGTCCTTCATTACCCGCCCGCTGCCCCTTCCGACTTGTTAAAAAATTCAACTCTTAAAAGCGTAATGAGGGAGAAGAGCTCAAAATAGGCAGAAAGAAAGAAGATATATGTGACGTACGCTTGAATTTTTTAAAAGCTGCACGACCCCGTAGAAATTCCTTGCTCAGATAGAATGATGCATGAAAACATCCAAGAAAAAACAAAAAGAAATGCAAGGAAAGCCAAAAGAAAGCCAAAAGACTAAGTGCTGGAGAACCACGACATCCCAGAAACTAATGGTGAGGGTCAGTAAGGGTTTAGGCTTGCAGGTCGGCTATCTGCTCCGTGTTTGATGCGAGTGGCAATTGCCATAGGCAGCTCTAAGGCACTTCTTCCTAACCCAGTATTGATTGGGAAATGCAAAAAAAATATATATATACACATATATATGGCCTGTTATTTGCAGTAACTCAACAGCGATTTCTCAAGAGCAAGACTGGACCCCACGAATCGTTGAATGGTTGATACCAAGGACAGCTTATCCCAAACCTGAGCAACAATTCCAGAAGGAAGAGCGAAGCTTGGCTACAAAACCTTGTCGGGTAAAGCTGAGCTCCTCTGCACGCTGCTGTGTTCCTGGTGGCTTCCAGGCGCAGGAAGCCTCGCTGCGACGTCTTCTCCTCCCAGGAGATGCAGGTGTCGGGCCCCTTCCTCACGCTCTCGAGGACACGCTGCTACGATCCGAGCAACCAACTCAACTTGCCTTCCCTCTGAGGTTACACCTACCCCTAAAACCCCCAAATTCACCCCAGCAGTCCACATCAACACATGCACCAACAGGGAAGGGAGAGAGCACTTCTCAGCCTCGCAGAGCCACATCTGAAAGTGCCCGGCACTTTCGCCGACTGTTCTTTTTAATTAGCCGTGCCGTCTTCGCATGGTCCCAAGCACATAAAAATTAATTACCTGGAACACTGTGTCTTTATAATTTTAACCTTTCCATGCTTTGCTGCTTTTCGGTGACATTTCCTTTAAACGAAAAATAAATAAATCTATTTCTCCAAAGACGGCAGATGGGAGATGGACAATCAATGGCAAAAAAGGAAAGGATAGAGGAGATAACAACCCAGCAGAAGAGTTAAAACTCCTTTTATCAACTCTTATCATGCACTAGCAGATAATCAATAGCTGACCAAAGCCTTGGGGTTTGACATTGCTGAAATGAGTCATTTCCATAGAGATCATTCAAAATCACTGGTATTAAATTAAAAATAAAAACCAGCTAGTAAATCTACTGTGAATGCTACTGCCTATTTAGCACTGTCTGCTACTTTGAGCTTAATATCAACTGGGTGACCTATTTATTGCTGAAATTAGAGTGAAAATTGCCAGAGGCACAAGTGAAAAGTTTATCTATCACCTTTTCAGGGGAAACTGCAGCCAGGATGGATTTTATCCTTGCTTGGGAAAGCTTTCCACCTTCCAAAACAATTCAAGAATCAGCTCATCAATGCATCTATGCTTAAATTTGAACAGAAAAATTGCTATCGCCCAACAAGACTGCAAGTAACTTGGCTATAATGAGCAACTGGCCACCCTTGATCAAAAAAATATCTAAAATATTGACCAACGCACAGGTATCAAGGACATCGGTCTTCATTTTCCTATCCTCATCGTATAGTCTCAGGTTTTATCTAAATTCCTAATGCAAAATTAATTCCTGAGAAATGGGTCCATGAGCTCACCCTTCAGCCCACAGTGACGGGGCTGCTCAAAGCCACGGGGTCTAAGAGGGCTCCTTTCCTAATTTCCTGCCCATGAACCAGCCCGACAAGGCAGAGCTGCAAATCCCTCCTGAAGGCATTTCCAAAGCTGTTATGGTTGAACGTGGATGAACCACGAAGGATGAACGTGGCACATTTTGTGTGGGATTTGTTGAAATGGCTACTCGGAAGACAGAGCTGAGATTTTCATGAAGAAAAAAAGACAAATAGATATGGGGAGGGAAAAGCCCCAAACATCTAACCAATATTTAGGCTGCAGAAAGGATCAGAAACAAAAAGGGCTGCGTGAACATGAAATATAATAGCAAACCAAAAACCCCATCAAGCATCTCCTCATGCAATCCTGGAGCTACCCAGGTGGTGAGACTCTTCCATCTGCTGTTGTACGGTGCAAAATCCCAACTCACAGAAGATTTATGACCCGGGATCTACCATGTACTTTTAGGATATTTCCCTTAGTGGCATTGAAACACATAGTCCTCTGCATCTTGCAAAGTAAAATCTGAGTCTGAGTGGAAATGAATACATGTGCTTGGTTTAATAAAGCGCCTGTGGCACGAAGGAGAACATCTCATGGAAGAAGTGGGAGCGCTCGGCCCTCATGGATGACTGCTGAAAGCCAAAAACACAGGGGCATGAATTTACCTTTCCTGACAGTCAAGCTCAATAAAACAAAAATAAATAATTAAACCATTTTCCTTGCCAGACAGCGAGTGCTGAGAAGGTACCACAGGGCACCAGCCTCAAACCCTTGGCACATTCCATGCAAGTAGCAGTTGGATATAAAAGATATTTTTGCTGTTGGGTGGGAACTCTTTGCACGACTCTGGTTCCAAAAGCTCTGCCTCCCATCCAGACACATAGAGGATTTGTTGTATTTATTACATAGTAATTTCTTACGTTATTGACACAGCATGCTAATCTTGATGGTTTGCATACATGAAAGTCAAGAAAATATCTCTGTCCCTTGCAGACAGTATTCATAACTGAGGGTAATTAGTATAAAAATAAAATTAAAAAGCACCTTTTTCTAAACAAAAGTCCTCGTGGGGCATTAATAAACACCGTCCTCTCACAGCACAGCTGGTGGTTTCGAGTGTGCAATTTTAAATTGGAGAAGCACAAAAAGAGCAGAGGGGTATCAGGTAGCACGTGGGTATTCACAGGGACCGATAATTATCCGACACAACCCGATGATCAATCGGAGCTTATTGAAAAAGTAGCTCAGCAACTCATGACATTGATTCAACTTTCTTTTGCTTTTTTGCTGCTAATTTAATTCCTCCCTCTGCACAATACTGGAAAGCGTAAGTATAAAAAGGGACAAAACCTAAGAAAGTCAAGCACACCTGGACCAGCTAGAGGACACAAATGCATCCTTCATGAGATGCATCTGCAGGCATCTACCATGGTCATGGTATTGTGCAGCTTAAAGGATGCATTTAGATATATACATAAACGCACGTGAGTGTGTGTATGTAAAATTTTGTTTTCAAGACAATATACTAGCCTTTGCTCTCAGAAAATATAATACCTGGGTTTACTAGCTCAGTCTTTCAATGCATTATATCTATATAAATGTTCTAGAAGTTTCAGCCTTTAGGAGTCAGGTAAATAGTTGAGGTATCACACACAAATTTTGAGCTCACACGTCCTAGGTGTATCGAACCATCTGCGGCGCTAGGCACGTTGCTAAACCTCAAGATAATCAGAGTCAGTTTATCGACAGAGATGTTTTCTCATCTCATCTCATCTATCCGATCAGCCAAGCTGCTGTCTGACACAAAAAAGAAGCCAAAAAGCAAACACAAAACGCTGGCAGCCTAACGGACAGTAGAGTTAAGCGACACCGTTTTGTGGCTCAGCACTTGGTCGCTACTCATGCTGATGAATCCGTGTTGCTGAATCAATAAATTCACATAAAACCAGCTCTCTGAGGACACACAGTTTCACTGAACATCACCTCTGGGATGGCAGGGAACAAGCATCTTCTCGCATCAAAAAAAGGGTGAACCTTTTCCCTCCTCCTTTTGCAATCGGCCCAAAACGAGCCCATCACTCACATATTAACTGGCATGTTTAACCAAGCGTCTGTGTGCAATAAGTGTGACTCGTGCTACTGCCTCTTGACCAAAACTAGGTAGATCAGAACTGATCTTCTCTCAAGACATCCAACTAGCTCCTCAGCCCCAGAAAATCGTTCTCCTAAGGTCAGCAGCGATGCTGAAGGGAATAACCTAGAACTGTCTTAGAATCATGGAATCATTATGGTTGGAAAAGACCTGTGAGACCACTGACTCCAGCTGTAAGCCCTTCACCACACGCCTGCTAGACCGTGTACCTAAGCGCCTCATCTACACGTTCCTTGAGCACTGTCAGGGATGGTGACTCCACCACTTCCCTGGGCAGCCTGTTCCAAGGCCTC